TTTTTTTTTTTTTTTTTTTTTCCTTTTTCCTTTTGGATCTTTGTTGATGATGGCATGATCTCTTCATGACCAGGCCCATGACGTCATGACCCATGCTAGTCAAACAACGTGTAAAAATACAAGACGATCATGACTGAGATGGAAGATGCAAAAGAACTGAGAAATAAAAAAACAAGAAAAACAGAAAGAGAGAAAGAGCAAGAACCTGAACAGTAACTATACCAGAACGGTTCACGTGCGTGTGAGAAGGTTGACCCTAAACCCTAGAAGTGAGGAACTAAGGTAGTCAAAGTGGTGACATTTGGTGAGGGTGAACGTCAGAAGATCTGATGAAATGCGGGGGTACGACTAATTATTCTTACTACAACTACTTTGTACTAGTAACTATCAATGACCTATGATGATTTTTTTTTATATTTCGCATCCCTCGCCCCCGTGACATTCTTCTGAGACCTCCTTTCTCATCTCTCCCTATCCCCGCACGTCGTACATACTCCTACTACTACTACTACTAATACTAATACTATCCGACATTACCAGGAGTATCCAGACCTCTCCGTAAGTAGCAGTACGACGGTGATGGCTTCTTGTAAGTCGTGTTCCGGACAAGGCATCCGCCAATCCCCTCCGGCCTGCTAACCATATCCCACTGATCAAGACAATCCATTTTCCCGACAAGAGTCGCATGGATCCTATTCCCTGGGGTCTTACCGTTTGCTGGTGCCTTTGTCGTGGTTACTGGTGGTGGTGGTCGGGATCTACTATACCATCCATGCCCCCGCCGGTGTCAAACACGGTCATGGCATCTTCAACCAGGCCAATCACCATATCACGCCTTTCAGTCAGAGCACAACGGTTACTGGGATTTACTGGTACGTTTTGATCGCTTTGGTTTTTCTTTTTTTCCTGTTCTATTTCCTCCGGGTTGGAATAGTTAGTTATATGTTCCAACCTCCACGGAAATATAAAAAGACATAAACTGACGGATATCACTCGCCATAGGATCCTTCTCCTCATCTCCCAACTCAGTTATGTTTACCATCTTTTCCATAAAGATGCCTCGATCGTGACGGCGACCGCCAACGTGGGTGCGCATTTTATTCTGAACAACCTGTTCATCTTCGCCTGGATCCTCCTCTGGACTCGGGGCCACTTCTGGGGTTCGGAGATTATCCTGATGGCCCACTTGGTCAACCAGCATACGGCTTACTGGAGACACCGTGCATTGCCCCCGCTGGTCCATTTGTCCGCAATTGCGGGGCCCTTTGCCTGGACGTTGATGGCGCTGTTCTGGAACGGTGCTGTCGCCGTGCATAGCAACTCGCTGCCGGCGAGGATCGTCGCCAATATCTTCATCTGGGTGATCTTCCTTATCGGGACCACCCATATTACAGTGGGACGGGATGATCTCTTAGGTTACTGCTTGAGTTTCTTGTTTCTTGGTGAGTAATACATCGTCCCGTAGGATTGGTATATAGATGAACGGCTAACCCCAGGTGCAGGATTGGCCCTGAAGCAAATTGCCGTCAAAACCATCGCCCTGCAGTGGATTTTTGCCTTTGTAATCTTCGCGGTCTTCCTGGCGGAGTCGCTCTATATCACGGGCACTAAATATACCGGCCGCGACGTTCTGTTTCGCAGACTCACCCACCCAGAAACTGCTGATCGGGAGCGCGAACCGCTGCTCAACGAGCAGTCAGGAGGAGCGGCGGCGGCGGCTTGAGGGTGGGTCACCCACCAAGCCCTTGTTTCCACGACGGTGCCGTCAGGCGTCCCCTAAATCTGTACCCCAAATTGGTCTGTTTAATTTTGTTCTGTTCGTCTTCAACCAGGTGGATGCAATTGGAATTGGACGATGCACGGAGTCTTGAACCACCCCCCCCCCACTCTTTTGTTCCACTTGAATTTCATGTACTCTGTTGTTGTGTCTTGCGCCGGAAATTGATCGGCTCCCAAATCATTAATACTGTAATAATTGACGGTGAAGGCTGGATTGGCTTTTGTGGATTTGGCATGAGGCTGTTTTTTTATCTCTCGAACTGTCCCTCTATTTATTTAAATCTATCTATCTAGTATTTAATTTAGTTGTGGTCACTGCCGCCGCTAAAGCATAAATCCAATGTCAATCTAATCAGGTGCTCCACCCGTGATTGTTTTGGTCTTGGAGTACAACTTCGTCAGCCTGATGTGATCGAACATCTGGACCAGTGCCACTCAAATAGGGACCAACTGAATGGAGACACACTGACTTGGATTAATCTCGTTGCTCTTCAAATGTCTCGGAGTGAGGGAAGGGCACTGACGATATTTTGCAACCTCCACTGCAAGGACGGCTGACGATTTGGCTCCTACAAGCGCGCGTTGCCTGGGCGACGGCAGCGTCTCCACGTTGCTCCATTCATTGCGATCAGACTAATAGGCTGGTATCCATGGGAGGTCGTCAGGTACGGGGCCTGGATTTAATCGACTAAATTTCTCTCTCCTTCGACGCGTGTGATATTGACGTCTGCACCGCGATCGTGGTTTGTTTATGAACAAGCCAGCACCCAGCCGATTGGACCACCATTTAAGATCCTCGAGAGAGCTTCGCATATAGACACTATCTCATAGTGATTTTAGAAGTCTTGTCGTGGCGACTTTTGAAACATTCCGGGTTTGTTTACCTACCCTGGAACAAGATCCAGAAAGTCTCCTGTTGTGAGTTACATTCTTGAACCCCCATTTGGAGTAAAGTCCATTGCAGACCCACGGAACTGACGACTTGTTACTACGTGTATTCTAGGTTATCGCTGCAGACTCCAATTGACCTTGCCCTGTGATCGGGGTGCTATCTCTGCACAACAGACACGTTCACAGGCCCCGCACGTCCGCTAGCTATCCATTGATCATGAGAAACTGATCCCGCAGCGTCTGCAATCATGAATCCCAACTCGTCGCACATGTATCCGCCGGCGCCGAACCACGAGGAAGAGCCTCCAGCATACGGCTATGGAGGTTCGTATCTCTCCGAGCACGAATCCCCTCGTCATGCTGCGCCGACCATGCGACTACTGCCCACGAGCACCACAACGGCAGATGATGGCTTCAGGGAAAGTGTGGGGAATACCTCGGCCTACCACTACGGCGAGGCGTATGAAGAGGACGAAGATTCTCCGTAAGTAATGCACCTGTCATGTCCTACCCGCATACCAATGGCTTCATTGGAATCTGGCCCAACGGCTCGGTTGCCCAGGTCCCTCCCCCTTGTTTTGTATCGAGCCAATGATGACTCTGGGTGCAATCATTGCAAGTCGTCCGCTGGGGGAATCAAGGAAAGCCACTGAGATACCTTGTTCCCGCACAGCTGATGATATAGGCACGATTGCCCCTCTGTTGTCTTTCGTACCTGAGAAAGGTCTATGAGCTCTATACACGAGTCTCAGACTATCTCCCGAGGATTATTTCACCTGCGTCTTCCAGAATGGCGCGACAGAGAAGAAAGAGATTTAACGCTCGTATCCCTCGTAATAGGATGGACCACCACCCGAGGCAATTTTCGAACCGGTACTATCAGTATGCAACGGAGGATGCACCTTCACGACCAGCTTCCAGCATGCGGAACGCTCCGAACATCCCGCCGCCCGCAACGTCGGTAGTAGATGTGCCCGAGTACTCATCGCGCCCTGGTTCCCCAACCCGACCTTGGTCTCCTAACCACGTGGGCGAGTGGGCTAGGGTCCCAAGACCCCCGTCTGTTTTGAGCTCGCAGTATGAACGAGCCGACCTCAATGGTAGTCCACGTCCGGGTACGCCGAGCTCGAGATATGGAGGCAGTCCACGACGACCGTTGCCACCAGCTCCGTTGTTCACGGCTCCACGATCTACGATGGGTGAGCAGGATACGAGCATCGACATTGGCGATCCGGACGACGATGTGTTCGGTGGCGGCGGAAGGACGATTCACCGGCATGGCCAACATAGCAGTGTGCATTCCTTCATGAGCGAATCGACCGTGATCACGGACGAAAAAGAAACGATGAATAAGTTTGATCTGGATGAGGACGACGAAGCGACAGGAATGGTGGACCCGAACCTGCATTACGGACCTGCCCCAGAGAAGCAGAGCCGTCGAGGCGTTCGCGAGGCCCAGATGACCAAGAAAGAAGTCCAGCTGGTTAACGGTGAACTGATCCTGGAGTGCAAGATTCCGACCATTCTCCACAGCTTTTTGCCGCGTCGAGACGACCGAGAATTCACCCATATGCGGTATACCGCCGTGACCTGCGATCCCGACGACTTTACGCAGCGAGGATACAAACTGCGACAGCAGATCGGTACAACCATGCGTGAAACGGAACTGTTTATCTGTGTGACCATGTACAACGAGGACGAGATTTGTTTTACTCGGACCATGCACGGCGTTATGCGAAACATCAGTCATCTTTGCTCCCGCTCGAATTCGCGAAATTGGGGAAGAGACAGTTGGAAGAAGATCGTGGTTTGTATTATTGCAGACGGCCGTAAAAAGGTCCATCCGAGGACCCTTAACGCGCTGGCGGCTCTTGGTGTATACCAGGAAGGCATCGCCAAGAACGTCGTCAACCAGAAGCAAGTCAATGCACACGTCTACGAGTACACCACCCAGGTATCTCTCGACTCCGACCTGAAGTTCAAGGGAGCCGAGAAGGGCATCATGCCGTGTCAGGTTATCTTCTGTCTGAAAGAACATAACAAAAAGAAGCTCAACTCGCATCGTTGGTTCTTCAACGCTTTCGGTCGTGCCCTCCAACCGAATATCTGTATCCTTCTAGACGTTGGCACTAAGCCTTCGCCTACTGCCATTTACCACTTGTGGAAAGCGTTCGATGAGGATTCAAACGTGGCCGGAGCCGCCGGTGAGATCAAAGCAGGCAAAGGCAAGGGCATGCTGGGTCTTCTGAACCCATTGGTCGCAAGTCAAAACTTCGAATACAAGATGTCGAACATTTTGGACAAGCCTCTGGAGTCCGTGTTTGGATACATTACCGTGCTGCCTGGTGCCCTGAGTGCCTATCGCTTTTTTGCGCTGCAGAACGATGCCGAGGGCAACGGGCCGTTGAATCAGTACTTTAAGGGAGAGACGCTACATGGACAGGATGCGGATGTGTTTACGGCAAACATGTATCTCGCCGAAGATCGTATCCTCTGCTGGGAGCTGGTGGCCAAGCGAGAAGAAAGATGGGTCCTGCGATTCGTCAAGAGTGCGGTGGGAGAAACCGACGTTCCCGACAGTGTTCCGGAGTTCATCTCGCAACGAAGACGATGGTTGAACGGTGCTTTCTTCGCCGCTGTGTACTCCATCGTCAACGGAAAGCAGCTGTGGAAGACCGACCATTCCCTGCCGCGAAAGATCCTCCTCCAGATCGAAGCCGTCTACCAATTTGTCCAGCTCCTTTTCACGTATTTTGGATTAGTGAGTTGTCTATGATTCAAGTGTGATTGGGGGTTAATACTGACATGTGCCAGGCCAACTTCTACCTGGCGTTCTTCTTCATCGCCGGATCACTATCGGACCCGAAGATCGATCCCTTCGGCCATAGCATGGGCAAATGGATCTTCATCATCCTGCGATATGCCTGCGTATTGGTCATGTGTTTGCAGTTCATTATCTCCATGGGGAACCGTCCGCAGGGGTGAGTGATCCTATCCGTATGGCACGACCGTTCTTCGCTAACTATTCGCAGAGCCAAGAAGTTGTATCTCTCGGGAATGATCGTGTATAGCATCATCATGGTCTATACTATTTTCTGTACGCTCTACCTGGTTATCCTGGAGCTGATCGCGAAAACCGGAGGGGATTCTGATCTCCCCGTAAGCGACGGGCTCTTCATTAACATCGTGGTGTCACTTCTTTCGAGTGTCGGTCTCTACTTCTTCTCCTCATTCCTCTACCTGGACCCGTGGCACATGTTCACGTCGTCGGCGCAGTACTTCGCCCTCTTGCCCAGCTACATCTGCACGCTGCAAGTCTATGCGTTTTGTAATACACACGATGTCACATGGGGTACCAAGGGAGATAATGTGATCAACACCGACCTGGGTGCGGCGCGCATCATCAACGGGTCTATTGTCGAAGTCGAAATGCCATCGGAGCAGCTCGATATCGACAGTGGCTACGACGCAGCACTGCGCAATCTTCGTGATCGAGAGGAGGTGCCCGAGCCCCCAGTCTCGGAAAGTCAGCTGCAGGAGGACTACTACCGGGCGGTCCGTACCTACATGGTCTCGATCTGGATGGTTGCCAACGTGATTCTCGCCATGGCGGTGTCTGAGGTCTACGGAGTAAACTCGGGCGGCACTAACATCTATCTCGCCATCATCTTGTGGTCCGTGACCGGATTGGCGTTGATTCGTGTGATCGGCTCGACGACGTACGCTATTCTGCTGGTGGTGCGGAAGATTGTGAAAGGGAAAGCCAAGTTCGATGCGGGCAACCTCGCTCATGGCACTGGCAGTGCGACTTCCAGTGCGGTCAACGGCAGCGCAGTGCGGTATGGCGGCGGCGGCACGTTTAGGGATAAGTTCACCGAGGCCAAATGGGGGATGAAACAGCAGGTGGGGAAGGTAATGTTTTGGCGGAAATGATTTATGTTTTCTATGCTTTTCTGCCTTTCTTTTTTTTTTTGATGAAAATATTGTTCATGCCTACGGTTACGGTTTGTATGTACTGATTGATGATGGGATCCATGGTATAATGATGTAAATGCACCTCTTCAACGATCTTGTTCCTAATTATGAATCCGTATGTTACTGGCCTTTATAATTCAAATTCATAGCCACATCTCACTAGTATGCATGACCCAGACCAGGTCACCGGTCAATCAAGCTCTTAGTAGTTGTGATACTCACAACTTAGCCCTTCCCTCCAGCCCCCGAACCACCTCCTCAACCACCTTCGCCGCCGCGATAGTCTCCTCATCCTTGAAATGTTTCCCGACAACCTGCAAGCCCACAGGAGCCCCTACAAACCGACCAGGATCAACCCACCACTTCCTCCATTCCCTCTCCTCCACCTCATTCCTCGCCATCCAGCCATCCTTCTTCTTCCCCTCTACATCCCCATCCTCAACCACCATCCCAGAAGGAAACACCACCGCCGGCAGATCAAGAACATTCCACACAGCCGTATAGTTCCAATACTGCGCCTCATACAAAGCAGGCGCAACGCCCACATAGGCCGGACATAGAATGAAATCCACCCCCATCGCTTTCATCCGCGCATGGTATTCATCTCTGTATTCATCGCGGGCGACATTCAATGCCCATGCTTCGGCGATGGATAATGGTGTCGGGTGTGCGTAGGAAAAGGCCCATTTTGTTAGTGGGAGGATTGGTTCGTTGGTTTGTGATATTAATGTTTTTTGGGAGGTTGCTGTGTCCGGGAAGTAGAGTTTTGACTGCGTTTTTTTTTTAATCTGTTTTAGTTTGCGTTTTTGGCCTTTTTTTTTTTTTGATGTTTGGGAAGTGTAGATGGAGGAGTATTGGTGGAGATAAGGAGAAAGTAACAAGGTGACATACGATTATATCCCAGCCGTGGGCGTGTTTATATGGCTCCCAGTCTACGACTTTGATGCCGGCTGCCTGGAGCTTGGATTTGGCGGCCTTGAGTGCTCGAATGATGGGAGGGTGCGGACGGACCGTTCTGCTCGCTCGTTAGTAGGGTGTTATCTCTATGTGCTGAAACATCTGAAGATAGAATGAAGAAGGGAAAGATGTGTACCCGTCATCCCACATGATTCCCACAGTAAACTCTCTGTCCTCCTTCACCCTCTTCCACGGAAGAGGAACCAGAGAGGTCTCGATATCCCACGGCTCCGCATCAAGAACCGCTCTCTGGAACAGCTCCAGATCATCCAGACTCTGCGCCGCCAAAGGCCCCACAACACCCAGGATGGCCTCCTGGCCGGGCTCGGGAGCCTTAATCCCTGAGCAGGGGTTCCGTCGCATTGTCGGCCTGAATCCGTATGCATTGCAGAAGGCCGCGGGAGCTCGAATCGAACCCCCGATATCCGTGCCTATGCCTAGCGGGGCGCATTTGAAGCCCATTGATGCGCCTTCCCCACCGGATGAGCCGCCCGGAGTGAGGGTGCGGTTGTAAGGGTTTGTCGTGGTGCCGGTGAGGTTGTTGCTGCAGCAGAGGTGCTATGTTAGTTAGATATGGTATGGGAACTGAGTTTCTGAGCAAGCGGCGGGTACATACCATGAGAGATTGGGGTTGATTCGTCCGGACGTGAAAAATGGCGCCTGCTTTGTGAAGACATTGTAGGATGAGGGCATCCTCTGGCGCGATGTCGTTTACCCTGTGCTTGTTAGTGGGTTTCTTTGCGATGTGTAGTGAACTTACCATGCTACGTAGCCGCCATTACAGGTCAGGTTCTTGATGCCGATATGCTCTTTTACGCTGATTGGGACCCCGTGCTGTGGATATTAACCCTCAGTCTATTATAGTATCTGAAATGAGGAGACACACCAAGGGTCCAACTAACTTCCCCGTACGCTGGTAGTACGCGTCCAGCTCTTTGGCCCTGGCAATGGCTTTGTCTGCCATGAACTCCGTCGCGAAGTTCAGCTGTCCTCATCAGCACATCCTATAGAAGCTCAGCAGACAATGTGTAGGAGAATGTATACCAATTGGTGTCCCAGAACAGCCCTCTTCAGGAACGCAACCACTACCTCCTCGGCACTTAGTAGTCCAGCCCCCATACCGGCAACCAGCGCCGTGGCGGACATATCCGTGATGGACAGTTCTCTATCAGTGAACAGTCCGCTGGATCTGGGGAAATCAGCGACATTCTTCTGGTCCGACGGGGGTAGTTTGTCTTCGGGGAGAAGCCATTGTGTTGGAATGGAGTTTTGTAGGATGATTTTGGCTTTGAGGGCTTCCGTTTGCCAGGTGGACATGGTTTCAAGTTGTTGGATGGATTACTTGGTGTGGAGATGGTGATGGTGGAGGTGAAAGAAGATGGAATTCGAGGGAGGAATGTCCCTTTATAGTTACTCCTTCCTCCTCTCTTTCTCCTCATTCCAGATGTATGTGCAACTTGTTCATACTCCGAGACGGAATTATGGTCCAATGAGAAGGGGAGGAGGTTGGTATAGGAAGAGAAGGGACCCCCGCAGGCGATAAGAGTTTAGCAGATGGTGGAGAAGCTTCGGTCTTATCTCTGGCATCGACTCGAGATCAGATCTTGGACCGAGTCGAGGGCACATTCGGAAATAAATTGTCCTTCCATGTCGCTGGCGGAATTGGTTCCGCCCCTTCCATCCTTGGTTTCAATTTCATGACTAAAACGAATTCTATCCGTCGCGTGTGCTGGTCCAATTCTATATACGCATGCTAAATAACAAGATTCATGATACTCGAGTCAAGATCGTGAGATGTAATGTGGTTGCCCCAGAACCTCAGGCCTTCGATGCCTTCCTCTCGACACAGGATGCCGCGATCCTCTGCCATTTCAAGCTCTTCTGCCGCAACTCCCACGCTCCATTTGAACCGCTGTGCTGTCTCCTGTGCGGTAATCGCACGCCCGAACTGGCGCCAATCCCACGGTGTAGGCTCAGCTGGCGGAATCTGTTGGAGCTCTAAAAGCCAGTCTTGCAGCTGTTGGATGGTTTTCTCGTCGCTCCAATCGTACCGCTGAACAACGAGCAAGCCGCTCTTGAACCGGCGCAGGCGGACTGGTAGTCGTAACGATTCCCACAACTCGGCTGCCCTTTGGAAATCAGCAGGGCTCACCAGCTCCACCCCGTTTCGGGACCGATTGAAGAGGGCCCAAAGATCAATAAGACTTATAATCCCACCTTCCTTCTGTAGGATGCCTTTGGTATCATCGGTGAGGTATTCAGCGAGGTTACGAGATAGCTCCGAGAGGTAGAGGTTCTCCGAACCCGAGCTCAGCATATCCTTCGTCGTAACCATGCCCAGGGCAGCTGCCGATTCTGAGAGAAGCGCACTGGTTTCGCTTGAAGTCTCATCACCCATGCCTGACTCTCTGGCCAGCGTTTCCGCAAGCGTGACGATTTGCTTCGCCGATGCCATAAGTGCTTCGAGGTCTTCGAATGCGTTGCCAATCACAACCTCATTGTTGCGGCGAGCTTCCAGTCCCCGCTGTTCTAGGCCTGCAATCCCGGGAGCGGGGGACCGAGCTGGGGTAGACACCAATCCATTCGTAGGTAACGCTGAATTCGGTGATGGCTGGTGTGGGACGGGTGGGGCATTGTAGAGCAGCCACTTTCTCTGGACCAATGCACCTTTCAGTCGCTCGTAGAAAGTCTTCTCGCCACCTCCGCGGAAGGATAATTTGATGTTGTCCGAGATCTCAGTATTCTTAATACTGCCCTGTAGTTGAATAAGTGGTGCTGGCGATTCAGCGCGATGCTGATTACTATTGGGAATCTCTAACAAACCCGACAATGAAGCACCGCATATTTCACACTCGTGGAGAGACGGATGATTCACAAAGGTGCACCTTGGACATGATACCAGGGACTGTGCTGTATCCTGACCACTGCCTTGAGGAGCTGAATTTATGGCAATCCCCTCGTGGGAAGATGCCGCAGCAGCGATGGCCGCCTTTAACACCGTTGTGAACGGGGGCTTGATACCGCAAGCCAGACAAGGTGGTATGTTTGTCGCCGTCGCTGTGGACGGGTCGAAGTTTGAAGGTATGGGATTGGAGAACGTGCAGATCGGACAGATCCATGTGGCATTCACCAATGTTGATGCTGATGGTTTCACTAATGGTGCGGAGTTCTGTACCCGAGGAGATTGCGACCTTGATAGACTGTTGCTTTTCGAACCGGAGCTGTTCTTGGGTGGTTTGGGGTGCAGTGTAATCTTGGGGGAAGATTTGAGGAAGCCTGCCTAAGATTTGGGTATGGATAAGCACTAGACCGGACTAGAAATTCAAGAGTAAGATATTTCATACTTGATATTCAGCTCTATCAATATCTTTCAAGTCGATAGCGACGGAGTGTTTGCGTGGCTCCTCCACCGCAACATAACAAACACGGTGAGATGTGAGGTATGCATGGCCGTCCTGATAATGTGGGATCTTGTATTTGCTACTCGCACAGATATCAATCAGTACAGCTATAGGGCCGGTGGAACCCACGGTCACTCACCCCTCGTACAACCCCACCGAATCCTGAACGAAGAGTAGAGTCTCATCGGGTAACAGCGAGGGACGAAGTGCTGTACTGAGATCCAAAGGCTTGAAGAGCATTTAGTAGATTGACCAGCATCTCTCATATGACTTAAAAAACTTGTAAAGAGGTGAACGAATGACTTTTGAATGTCTTATCTTGTCGGTGGAGGAGATCGTACAGTAGATATTGATGTCAGATGCCGGATACGGAAGGCGGTCAAGACCATCCGCGCCCAGCATCTCCGCCACGAAACGTAAGCGAAAAAGGAACGTTCGTCCCTCATATTACATCTCGACATCTTCATCTGGCGCCCTGTACTTTGCTCCCTTCTCAGCCTCTACCTCTACGCAAACACTTTGTCTTCTTCTTCTTCTTCTTCTTTTTTTTTATTACCTTTCGTTTCCTTTTTTCTTCCTCCTCTCTTCTGTCACTTTCTCCAGCTTTCCCTTGTGTAGGAGTGTTCTACATCAGAATCCCGTAGTTTTATACACAGTCAAACTATCAACTTTTCCTCACTTCTTTACTGCCTGTTTGCTTAGACTTCTTTCTCAATAATGAGTTCGGGCATTCCACCATGGCGTGTGTCTGCGTCAGCCACCGCAACGGCTCAAACATATCCCACACATGGTATGCTTCCCTCTCACCGGTCAATGTGACCAAGGTTGGTTAACCGAATGATAGCGACCCCAGCGTACATCCCAGTTCAAGCACGCCGTAGCCTTGCCCATACAGCCGTGGCGAATCCCACCCCAGCCCCAGCGTCGCAGCCGTCGGATACCGAAGCCGCTCGCAAACGAGTAGAATGGCCAGCCCCAGTTCGCTTGTATGTACAACGAAGTTTTGCTCCGGAACATCAGATGTCCTCAGTTAGCAGAGAGGAAATGGAATCGAAGTTAAAGGCCGTCATTACTGAGGCCGCAGAGAATAACAAGCTGGATAAGATTGATTGGGCAAGCCTGCCATTGCCCCAGGTCATGGTCCAGAACGAGCGCAACCGGATCCTAGCCAGCCCAAATGTGCCGGCTTGGAGCGCTGTGACTACCCAGAAGTATGAGAGCTCCTCCGACGCCTCGTCGAGGAAACGGAAGTCGGTTGAGTACAACGGGGACGCGAACAGCTGCCCACCATGGAGACAAACTAACAATCACAATGCATTTGAAGACCGAATCACTTATTCCCCCACAGACAAACGCCAACGGATAGATCATAAGAACACAAGTAAGTCCAAAGCTAATCTGGAACTGCGGAAAAAACGCTTCGAGGAACCAAGGGCTCGATATGGTTCCTCGCCATCGTCGCGCGATGACTCCCCCTCTCCTAGTGCAAACCAGGGCCCTGTTGTCGGACGGTGCCAGGATCTGGAGAAAAACTATTTCCGTCTGACGTCCGCGCCAAACCCGGATACTGTCCGCCCCCTGCCAGTCCTGGTCAAGACACTGGATCTGCTGAAGAAAAAGTGGAAGAGAGACAACAACTATAACTATATATGCGATCAGTTCAAGTCGCTGCGGCAAGATTTGACTGTGCAGCACATTAGGAATGAGTTTACTGTCAGCGTCTACGAGATTCACGCGCGCATTGCGCTGGAGAAAGGAGATCTTGGTGAGTATAATCAGTGTCAGACTCAGCTGCGCGCGCTGTACGCACAACAACTTGGAGGCCACCCTACGGAGTTCAAGGCGTATCGTATTCTGTATTTTATCCACACCCGCAATTGGACGGCCATGAACGATGCCCTGGCCGATCTAACAGCAGCAGACAAGAGAGATCCTGCTGTCAAACATGCCTTAGACGTCCGCTCAGCTCTTGCCCTTGGGAATTACCACCGTTTCTTTCAACTCTACCTGGACACCCCGAATATGGGAGCTTACCTGATGGACATGTTCGTGGACCGAGAGCGACTGTCTGCGCTGACAGCCATTTGTAAAGCGTACGTGATAGCCTGTCGAGATCCTCCCGTATGCACGCTGACCACTTACTTGATCACAGTTATAAGCCTGATGTAAACATCCGTTTCATTACTGAAGAACTTGGTTTCGAGTCTGACGAGCAGAGCGCACACTTCATCCTGGACCATACGTCGGAGGACTTGCTCCAGGAAAAAGATGGAGCGGTGAGGCTGCTTACCGGAGCGAAAGCCGCACAGCTTTTCGAGACCGCCAAGGCTGATGCTCATCGGATTGTCGACATCAAGGGTCAGATATGAAACCCTTGAATGGCCCATAGGACATACAATTGGGAGACGGCATGTCAATCACCCCATATCCACTTCTTTTCATATCTGCTCTTGGTGGTTCTCATTTTCTTTTCCCCGGTTCTGGGTTTCTTTTCTTTCCCCCCTTCTTTTTCTTTCTATCTCTCAATTGTTCGACTCTTCTTTTTGGAGCGCCCCTGCGTCTATATTTTACAGCTTCAGGAGATCTATACCCATTTCGACCGCAAAAGCGTTGGTAGTGTTGCTGAATTCGACTAGGCAATGTTTTTCTTTGGGCAGGAGCTGGAGGGAACGGGTGATATTTGGCATTGGATTTGATTAGTCCTTAGCAATCAGAATTAATAGCTAGGTGATTCGCGTGTATACCTTTCCGATCATAAGCAACGATAGTACTGCGGTAGATGATAAGATCGAATAAATGCCTCTTTTCATCGATGACCGTGGAGGCGGCCCCACTGGATGAGGGAGTGGGCCGCCAAACATTTTGCCCCGTCGGGTCCCCGAGAATATCGGCAGACGCCGCGAATTGACCTTGCCGGAGGCTCAGATCTGTCCGTCCCAGGAGGAGGAGGAGGAGTGGTCTGGACGAAAGATGTTATTTTCCCTTCTGAGACAGACACCGGATAATGTTATCTTTTGTCTCTGAATTATACATGCCTAGTCTTTGCACGCTGTTTCTCACCAACGATGTGCTCAAACATTGGAAGTACACCCGAGACCCGCAACGAGGTTCTCGAACGTGTCCGGCCCACATGGTCGGGCAAAGTCCGTCAACAGAAATTACCAGGACGTCTTCTGGAGAAAGAAAGACAAGTCAACATTCGTCCACTGTCAGCACGTTCGTACCTGGATCTGTCGGCTGTAAGCCGCCAAATCCTTGTCGATGCATGTACGCATTGTCTGATTTTGTTCTAGAATCAATTCGATGTCGGTGGATTATCGTTTCCATCAGTCGCTTTGTTCTCAGTGATCTCCGAGTATGTGCTTCCTGGATTGAAAATCCCACGGGTTTACGGGGAATGACATCTACCGAAAGCTCCTGCTCCTAGTGTCGAGCCTATTCTTCTCTTGATCTAGTTGAAATTTTAAGGTATGTGCTGGTTGAAGGTAGGGCTGAGCTTCCGATCCGATTTCATTTACATGATACATCGATTTCATTTTCCCCGACTTGCTTGATCTCCCATGAGTCATGCCAAGCGAAAAAACAGTCGAGATGGATGGGTCTGACAGCCGCACGAGGCGATGAGTTAACTGACGTCCAAATTGGACCTATCAAGTTTGTACCTCTGCCCAGTATTCAGGTACCTCCTTCTTCGGCGTACTAGTCAAGGAGCCAGTGGGGCCTGTTCAGACATTTTCTCCTGTATGGTACTTTGTCAGTGATTCGTACCTGGCGGTCAGTCGAAGGAGACCAACACCTGCCTTTCAGCTTGGATGTCCCAAGATAAACCAGCAAACTCTCTCGAGATTGGCAGAGTCGGTCAAGTTTTGACACGCTAGTACAAAGTCTATCAGGCCTTGACATCATTAAATAGGTAGTGTATCGCGAGTAGCTTTGTAAAATGTAGATCCTGATCCACGGCCACTGGGCTGGGCTGTGTCCTCAGCTCTTGTGTCCACGATCGATGGGGAAAAGCCTTCATAGCCAACAACCCAACTGGTTGGTATGCAGTCACCCTGCAAGGGCACTGATCGCCGGAATGACTCAAGGCTTGCATCGGAAGCATCGACGAAGCTTGAGCTGGGAGGGAGCTATGCATGCGACCTACGAAAACTGTTTGGAGTCGACCCGGTTGGGCCTGCATCAGTTGGACTATTTTGGGCTACGGGATTGGACAAGGGGTCCTGACTAAGATAGATCGAGATGGGATCCAGTCGGTATGCATCTTCAGCTGTACGCTGCATGGAGAAGATGGTACGGATTCATGTCGGACGTCAATCCCGGACCTTAGTTTTCCCTTTATCTTCTTGATTTTCACTTTCTCACCAATTTAGGCTATCCTCTTACATCGTCTGAAAGTTAAAAATATGCAGGAGGATGTTTTAGAGTGGAACGAAAGGGTTTGGAACCAAAGAGAGGATGATGGGTAGGGACGGTGAGTTGGAGAATCTGAGGCTAAGTGAGCTTAATTGGCGACTATGATGCTGAAAAGAAAGAGATCAGAATCTCTAGTGTCGGCACAGAAGACTGATACATGTCGATCATATAATCTATTGATCAGGCTTGACTTTTGCGAGCATCGTTCTTTGTCAGACATCTAACGGGATTAGTTATATTGACTATCTCGATCATTGACGTGTGTACAGAGTACATACCATGAATGAAATCGAGGGAAAGCACAGACTCGGAGAAGTCACCCATGGCAGTCAAGACTTGGACACACGGACCACAACTTGGAACTTGACCCCCGCTGACTGAGGTCTGGTTCATCTCCAATAAGCTGCCGAGGGTGTGGCAATTCCACATGGGGATCCCCATCTGAACACGCGGTACGCAAATGCCTTTTGCTCTTAGCGTCCAGAGATTTCAACTCTGGTACGGATCCTTCTTTTCTAGTATGTTCGTTCGTTCCAACATTTCACAGGAAAAGGGTAAACTTCCTGGACGGTCAACCAACAAGGTAAGATGTTGGGGACAAGGACTGCTGCCCACCCGCGTTGATACCAGGGATTGCCGGTTGGACTTGATCTTTTTTTCCCTTTCCTTTTCTTTTCTTTTTTGCTTTCACTCTCTCTCCTTTTTTTTTTATTTTATTTTTATATATTATATTTTATTTTTTGATTTGAAAAAAGAAAGAAATAAACAAAATAATTAAAAGAGTGCACGAGGACGAGTGAAACTAGCAGGGCTGGAGGGAAGCAGACTAAGGCAGCATCGGGAGTATCGACATCAAACTAGTGAGTTTAGTTGACGCAACAGGAGCCACGGGGAGACTCTTCCGCCTGGTCAAGGAAAAACACTAAAATCGAGGGTAATTTTAGGCATGCAACGGTCTCAGTTGGATTTTTGAGGTATGATTCAGTATGTACTTTTTCTTTTTTCCTTTTCTTTTTTCTGGTTCGGATGTTTGCTCTTTGGATTTCCCATCGGATTTTGTCTTCGATTTCTTGCCTCTTCAATTTCTCTAAGAATTTTTTTATTTGAAGAAACCAAGATTTCCAGTTTTTAAAGTTCATGGATTTCCTTCTGGAAGGAAAAGAAAAAAAAAAGTTGTTCATCCATACGATACAGGAAGTTTTTTCAAACGGATCCCACGTCTCCACCCAACCACACTGACTGTACCCGACGCAGTAGATCCATACAGCGACTAACTTACTACTTACTGTTCTCTGGTACCGTACCACCAATCAATCCAACGTGCTTGGGATGTTGCAAATGTGTTAACTGTTGTAGTCGACACTCGACGTACAGCCTTTTTGTTCGCTTTTTCCATCCTTCTTCTTTACCTTTTCTTTTTTCTTTTTTCTTTTTTTTATTCCTCGATTTTGATTTTAGCTTGACTCTTATTTGGGAGTTTCCTAGAGCTACCTTCCTGCTTCTCCCTTTCCTGCTTTGCGATCTATACATCCCCGTACATACATCTTGCAGAATAGGGATCCAGATTATCAACCCAGCCGGAGGATTGAAAATTCCCGTCATTACGAACCCACGAAATTTGGAAACAGCATACAGAACAGAACAAGAACAAGAACAAGAACCCCACGATCCCATTTTCCCTCACCATCCCCCCCATCTGCCTGGAATCGAATTACAGCCACCAGGTGCCTTTCCCTTGGGTTATGCAAAGAAACGCAGGAATAGGATTCCAAGAATAACAATCAAAAAGAAGAAAAAAAGTGGTTCCAGTCTGGGGCTTTCGAGGACAAACCCAGCTGTCACGCGTGGACTCTCAGTTCCATTCTTCATTGTTACTCGCCCCATCGAGATTACTCCTACTCCGTAATATCAGGGGCGGGCGACACAAAGCGGGCCCCTCGCTGCTTTTTTGGAGTCGTCGCAATCCAGAACGTCCATTCAGATTGGTTCACCCAGCGGTGGTTGTAAGATCTGACAAACGGGCGAAAAGAGGAAGAGCGAGAGAAAGACAGTGTCGAGCGAGCGAAGTTCTCCAAATAGAACGGAAAAAGAGACCATACGATTGACATCCATACATACTCTTACATACTTACATACGTATGTACATACAGTACATGCGCCTCTCCCTCACCCTCTCACCCTCTCACTTTGCTCACTGATACTCTCTCCATCTCTTCGTTCTTTCTTTTTTACTATTATTATTCTCCTTCCCCTCTCGATCTCCGAAGTCTCCCTCTTCATATCATTATTCTTTTGACCCTCTCCATTCATTCATTCGGGTTCTCTCTCGCCGACTTTCCTCCACACATTCCTTTTCTTTGTATTCGACCGTCGGTCGCCATCGCCTTTCGTCATTCCTTGTTGGTGGCGCAGATTGGGTTTTATAGCAGGCAGATCCGTTGTTGTATATCTTCGTCTCTGCGGCAGTCCTCAAACCTACACTACTTGACAACGATTGTATTTTTTTTTATTCTTTTTTATTCTTACTCTGATTGTATTCTCTTTTCTATTTTATCTGGACTGGGAATTTTTGAGTTCAAGTTGTTACCGTTGGGTGAACATCTTTCTCGCTCTCTCTGTCTCTCCTACATCGGATTTACTAGTTGGTCCGTTTTGGCAGCAGCCATGAAGGTATGATGGATCGCATTTCTCCCCCCCTTCTTGTTTCAAGTTCTCGCGCTTCTTCTCTTCCCGCCCCTCGTTTATCTCGATTATCGCTTGGGACCATACTCCGTACATCCCCAATTTTTTGGTCGGTCGTTGGAATCTCCGATCAATTGATTAATTAATTTGTTCCATTAGGCCCTCCGACGCTCCCTCAAAGGGGAAAAGGACCCCAAACCCCACCACCACCATCATCTTTCCATTACGCCAAAGTCAGCGATCGCAATCCTGCCCCCGAAAAAGGTGTGTATCTCGCATGTTCTAATCTTACTTTTTACTTTCCTCGTTACATTTCTTGCCATTCATTTTGCTTCCCCTGTTCGGTCCTGCCTTTCTTTTCTCTCTCTCTCTCTCTTTTATATTTTTTTATATTTTTATATTTTTATATTTTATATTTTATTTTTTTTTGGTCCACCCCATTCTCTCTCTCCTCTTCTTCCTTCCCTCGGCTTTACTAGTCGGATCGTCCCCCTCCTTGGCAAAAAAACAAAAACAAAAAAAGAAAAGAAAAGAAAAGAAAAGACGACTAATTGATCAACCACCCTCCCCCCTGGGTGGCGCGCAGGTCATCAAAGCTCTTTACGACTACCAACCAGATCCTGGTAATACACAGGAATTGGCCTTCAGCAAGGGAGACTTTTTTCACGTTATCAGCAGGGAGGACGACTTAGATTGGTACGAAGCGTGCAATCCCCTCATCCCTACCGCTAGGGGGTTGGTGCCTGTGTCGTTCTTTGAGGTCATTGGCAAGAACGAAAGAAATAGCGCCGGCTCGCTGGACCTTCATAAGAAGAAGGAATCCCACGACTCCGGTTTCTCTGATCGAGTTCCAGCTGCCTTCCCTGGTCCCGACTTCATCAACGGTTCGCCGAATCATAACCCTCCCCTCGCCTTCCCCAGAATGTCAACTTTGGGCAAGGGCTCGAGCCCCATGGTCTACGGTGTCGTCCAGTATGACTTCCAGGCTGAGCGACCCGATGAATTAGATGCCAAAGCCGGCGAGGCTATCATCGTCATCGCCCAGTCCAACCCGGAATGGTTTGTCGCCAAACCCATCGGTCGCCTGGGTGGCCCGGGTCTCATCCCGGTCTCGTTCATTGAGCTGAGGGACATGCAGTCGGGTCAAGCGGTGACAGATCCCCTGGACGCCGTACGTCGTGCCGGAGTACCCAAGGTGGAGGAATGGAAGAAGATGACCGCCGATTACAAGAATAGCAGCATCACGCTGGGTAAGATCGACTCCGCCGCGGCGGCGGCGAATAATGTGAACTCGGTGACCTCCGGCATGGAGAAGATGTCCATGAGCCATCAGAGCACCGCCCATTTGAGCCAGAACGGTAATTCTTATGTGAGTTGCAACGCTTCCCCTGCCATCCCGTTCGGGATACCGGGGGATCGCCGTGCTAACCCGTCCTGTTAGGGCTACCACCATCGCAATCCCAGCAAGGGTTCTCTCGCACAACATATGTCTCACCAGTCGATGCAAAGTTACCACCAGCCCCTGGTGGCCCCGGTCGCCGCGTCCATTCCTCGCTACTGCTTCGACAACGATAAATACTGGTATATCATTGAGGCGAAGATGGAGGACGGTCGCTGTTGGGAACTCTCCCGTTACTACCATGACTTTTATGACTTTCAGATCGCCCTCTTGACGCAGTTTGAAGAAGAAGCCGGGAACCGAGGCAAGCCACGGACCTTGCCGTACATGCCCGGGCCGGTCACCCACGTTACCGATGCGATCTCCAATGGCCGCCGCCAGAACTTAGACGAGTATATTCGGAAGCTGCTGAGCATGCCTCCCCACATCTCCCGGTGTCAGTTGGTCCGGGAATTGCTTGCTCCTCGCGCAGGAGACTTCGAGATCGACCCCAGCGCGTTTGGAGAGGATGCGCGGTTCTCCGGTGGGTCGCACCACTCCGCGCATGAGGTCCCTCGCAGCGCCTCCCGCCAGTCCTCGCAAGCCCAGATTAACCCCTCGCACGACCGTAACTCGCACCAGCGGGCCCAGGCGTCGATATCGCACAGCAACAGCATGCCTCCGCCGATGAACCGACAGGCCAGCTCTCTGACCCAGGTCTCCAGTTCGAGCAGTGGCGCATTGAAAGTGAAGGTTTCCTTCCAGGGCGACCTTATCGCGATTCGGGTCCCCAACGACATCAGCTTTCAGCAGCTGCGGGAGAAGCTCATGGATCGCCTGAAGATTAATAATGAAATCGCGGTGCAATACAAGGACGAACCGTCGGGCGCCTACGTCGATCTGGTCAGCGACACCGATCTCGACACGGCCATCCAACGCAACTCCAAACTGACGCTATTCGTTGAACTCGTCTGAGAAGCGCCTCTCCGGATTTACCATAGAAACTTGATTCCCATGGGCATTTTGCGATAGATTTGTTGATTATCTGCATTGACATGCCTGTTTTCTTCTTTTCGACCTCCCCAGGGTCCTGGTGGACACGGTGCAATGGTGTTATGGTTCCTTTCTCTTATGAGCCATCGGTCGATTTCCCGAAGGCTGATGGATGATAAGAATGTGATGTCCGACATGTTTATGCCATTATGTATCTCTTTATCGTGTTTGTTGTCTTGCATTGGCTTTTTTTCTTTTTTTTTGGGCCATGGTTGATTGTGATTTTCTCATACCCTTTTGATGCACAGTCGATCCCATGTACATAACGTGTGTTGCATATACATATTGTATGGTAGGCTTCATGACCTACTGTTTTACTCATTGATTCGATTGTTTGTGCCGAGGTAGACTCATTGATCCGATGGACATCCAGGTGAAGGTAACCTTCCAGGAAGCTCCAACTTGCTCCGTGTAGCTTTCTTTGTGGCCAGGGTAGTTACACGCTCTGAGATATCTATGGGCTCCTTTCCTTCTCAATCCCACCCCAGTTGTCAGTCACCAACACATGCCGTAAGCAAGTCTGACAAGATATGACCAGCGAAGCAGGTAAACGTAAGACAGGATGTCTGAGGACGCTCCATAAGTCTTGTTTTCCGCTCCGCAGGGATATATCTGCTCCCAAGCAAGGTGTGTAGTGAAGCGAGGCGTTTGTTTTGCATTCTACACTCGATCAACTTGACCAGACTTGTCTTTGCTGATATGCATCTTGCCATTGATACACCTCTATACATATAGTGGTGCTCCTTTTTGGACCAGGAGGTCTTATTGTAGCAAAGGACCAGATATCAGTGAGACTCTTCTCAGCCATTAATCATCTTTATATACTGAAAATATATAATTGCAGAGAATTACATACTTCTCTATGCTATTGGCCATACCACTTCAATTATAATTATCCTAGTGTTAAACTGTGAGATTACTCCAGTCGGTCTCATACACAAGGCTGGATAACCAAACAACGATATCCGCAGAATCCACTCACTCCACCTTCACCTCCCACTGCGTCCGCCTAATAATCGCATGCTGACTTCCATCACTGTCGATACTTCTCATCTCAGCATCGTCAACGGGACTATTCCGCTGTGTCTTCTGTTTATCCACCCCATCACTCAGTCCCCCTGAGACAGTTGTGACAGTCTGACATTGCCCTCTGGGGTTAAACCGAGATTTGGCACCGGGGAACTCCTCCTTTCCTACCCGGGAACCTCGCTCCATCGATTGAAGCGCATAGCTCCCTGCCGAGCGAGACCGACTGTAGTACGTGCCGCCCGGCTCACAGTCCATGTGTGTTGTGGCACCCATGTTCAAGTCAAATACCTGGAGGAACTTGCGAAGACATGGAAATGTAGCCGACATAAGGGAAAAGTGCATTGCCACTTCTGTAACCAGGACGGTGTCGGTGATTGTGAACGTCGGGTCGGCGGCGTTGTCTCCTGTCGTGCTCTGCTGGAGGAATACGAGACGCACAATGATGGGAATCGTTGCCCTGGATGATGGTTAGTGGCGTCGGGGTATGGACTGTGGATACGTACAGCAACTGGAGGGAAAAGGCCATGACCACGGTTATTTTGGTGGCTGAGGCCACGCGTAGATCCCACACCATGAGAATGACAATGCACGGAAGGAGAAGCTCAATGAAGATGTTTCCCGCCTCAACTGCCGTCCATTGGGCAAACTGATAGCATCGTTAGATATGACCCTTGTTCGGTAAAGACGACTCTCATACCATGCTGCCACAATGATCCACTGCCCCGACATTCCACGGCATGGGGAGTTTGCATTGGAACGCAATCAGGAACAGCGAGATGACGCCCCAGAGCAGGATGAATCCGGTCAGAAGATGACTCGCTTTCAAGTGGAGTTTTGTTCTGGTGAGACGCGCTATGAGGAGGGAGATTGAGACCTTGGACGAACAGACGACGACGGGATACAGAAGCCAGGCGATGTAGATACCCTAGGACAATGTCAAAGTCAGTCGTCAAAGTACTTTGGCCCACAGATACTTGGCTTGCTTACCTTTAGTCCAGATTCGACTTGATCATCAGTTAGCAAAGCTTCTTTCTTGCCGATCCCATTTCGCACTGCTTGGAGAATCACGGCTGTTTGCACGGTCCCGATGATCTGAGTATCATTTCGTCAGCTGGCGATGGCTAAATTGCAGCGTGTATGATGTTTACCGTCCCGAATACCGCGGCTATGTCGTCTAAGCCAAAGGGAGGATTCAGCTTCAGGCGGAGATACACCCTGATGCCAATGATGAGAATTGACCAGCTTAGGCCAATGAGAGCCGCAATAATGATGAAGGCGCTATGATCATCTGGTGTCACCTGGATGTAGGAGTCTCCATCAGGGTTGCTGGACGACATCAGGAACGCACATTCCCCGAGTCGAATCAATCAAAGGGATCAATCTTGCAATGAACACCCGGAGAGCCAGGCGAAAGCATTATCTATATCTCAGAAGACCACCTCTTCTGCGCCAGGGGATATCATCCAACGTTCCAGATGGGGAAAAAATGAACTATACTAGTGAAGTTTCTCGGGTGCGGCCCTCCGGCATCGGGCTTTGTTAACTGTTGGATACTGGGTCCAAGGCAGGACTAAAGTGTCAATTGGTGTTTTAGTCGGGTGGGATTGAAATTAACGTGAAAAGGGACCCTTTTTCGATGTAACTCTCTTCATTTATGCTCGCCGAAGGAATACATCCCTGCATTTGCATAATAGTAGCTGCAATATCCCTAACACTAGCAGTGCCATCGGCATTCGGCGCATGAATTTAGACTGTAGACGTCTCCCTAAAATATACTAGATGAATATCATTTCAATGCTTTTCCCTTATAGATCCCTGTCTTCCTTATCACTTCTCCGCTTGTTCTTTCACTGGTATTTTGTCAATATTCACCAGTCAACACAATGCTTAACGACCGCTGTTGGACCCGAGACAGACAACCCACGACAAAATCGCCCCCATGTCCGAGAAAGACTTACCTTGACGGGAGTTACACATTTGTCACTAGGATCTTGGCTCGGAAGATTTTTGCACGGCAGATCCCATTCGTGGCGGGGCGATCCTGTATCTATTAGTAGTTAAATGCAACGTTATACGGGTTAGTGAGCCCATTCGTGCCCTAACTCGCCGGCCTAGACTGTTAAAACCGTTTTGGCGCAACCTTGACAGAAAAGGTCCACTGCAACCCCCTGTCTAAACCCTTCATCGTTCCTTGTAGTTTCGTGCACTATTTACGTACATGTTACTAGCCCCGTTATGATTTGAATTCGGAATTGCCAGAGAAGAATGTAAAAAAAAAAAAAAAAAAACAAAGGAGCAAACTCAACAACACCCTCTCTCTCTACCAACTCACCCGGTTCTCTTACATTCGTTGTAGGCCCTCTATCTCTCGTCACTATGTTATCCAGTGGACAGCTGGAATTGAAGGAGGTCGGCTCGGCCCGTTCTCCACATGTAGAAGAGAGAAATGGTTCTCTTGATCCCGAGTTGTCCGACGATGTTAAGGCAGGCTTCACCGTGAACGATCAGCGGGACATGCAGCGCATGGGCAAGAAGCAGGAACTACGGGTCTGTATATCTTGGGGCGTATAGTTTTCCGATAGTACTGACGCAGCATCTAGAGGAACTTCCGTATGGCCAGCACCATCGGTTTCACAACTTGCGTCATGGGTACATGGGAGATCTTATTGACGTACACTTCCCCGTCTTACACGTTTAATTTAGCATTGGAGGCTAATGTGAAGTCAGCTCCAATACCCCTGGTCTGACAGCTGGCGGACGACCTGCTCTGTTTTGGTCCCTAGTATGGGCATACTGCGGGCAGCTCTTCATCGTGCTGTCCATGGCGGAGATGTCATCTATGTAAGCAGAGTTGCTACTCTTTGTACTCTTTGGATTGCGATCTAACCATGTCTAGGGCACCTACCGCGGGTGGACAGTACCATGTAAGTTATGTATAGAAAAAAAGTCTCTATTCGACACCGCTGACATGTTTGCCAGTGGGTTTCCGAATTCGCTCCTCGGGCTTACCAGAAGTTTCTCAGTTATGCCTCGGGTGAGTACATTGTAGATGATTCTCAACCATGTTCTGTACTGAGTATGATAGGATGGCTCTCAACGATATCCTGGCAGAGCATCGTCGCCCTTGATGCTTACCTGGCTGGAACGATCGTACAAGGTCTCATCTCACTGAATGATGACAGTTACTCTCCAGCGCGCTGGCAGGGAACATTGCTTGTTTTTGCCGCAGCGATCGGCATGTCGTTGTTCAATATCTTCGGTGCGAAACATCTGCCCTTGGCGGAAGGGATATTCGTGACCTGTCATTTCTTTGCTTTCATTCCAGTGATTGTCACCCTGCTTGTGCTCGCTCCAAAGGCAAAGGCAGAAGATGTCTTCACTGGGTTTACCGATTATGGTTCCGGATGGCCATCTGTTTCATGGACGGTCATGGTCGGCCAAGTATCTTGCATGTTTGTCGTGCTAGGTGAGAGCTGCCTCTTGGAGTTTTAGACCTTTTGCAGTATCTAACACTTACGTTCTACCTTTCTAGGTTCTGACTCTGTCGCACACATGTGTAAGTGACGTTTGACACATCGTACCGAGTTCCTTACTGACATACCGATAGCGGAAGAGATTGAAAACGCCAGCGTCATCGTTCCAAAGTCGATGATCTGGGCGTTCCTCCTGAACATCCCCTTTGCCTTTGGCCTGCTCCTCACCTATCTGTTCTGTATGCCCGACGTGCAAAGTGCTCTCGACTCCCCCACGGGATTCCCTTTTATCCATGTCTTCCGCCAGGCAGTTGGTAATACTGCCGGTGCGACGATACTTGTGGTGATTGTGCTTGTCTTGATTGTCATGATCACGATTAGCTCTCTGGCATCGGCTTCGCGTCAGACATTTGCCTTTGCCCGCGACAATGGCCTACCTTTTTCAAACTGGTTAGGAGAGGTAGGTCCTATACTGACTCTAATCTAATGTCTAGTTGTTCGTTATAACTTACACATAGCATTCTTTAGGTTAACCCACGACTACATATCCCAGTCAACTCTATCATTGTCACTTGTCTCTTCTCGATGGCAATGTCTCTCATCAATATTGGCTCTACCGTCGCGTTCAATGCCATGCTCTCCCTCTCGACCACTGCGTTGATGGCCACCTATCTCATCTCTATCGGTTGTATTATTGCGCGTCGCATTTCCTGCAATCCACCACTTCCACCCTCTCGGTGGACACTGGGTCGTTTCGGCATGCCCGTTAACATCTTGGCCATGGTGTATGCCAGCTGGTCTTTCTTCTGGAGTTTCTGGCCCAATGCGTACCACGTCAATGCGGAGAACTTCAACTGGGCGTCGGTGTTGTTCGTGGGGCTGATGGGAATCTCGACGATTGTGTATTGGACATATGCGAGGAAGTACTATGATGGGCCGGTGGTTAAGGTGGAGGGAAGGAAGTTCCAGTAGTCTATCTAGGGTGAAGGCCAGCATCTCACAACTGGGGAAGTCTGGTCGTGTTGACGGGACTTGCATGGAACTGATATCGATGGTCTCGACTAAGGGTTTAGTGGTACATGTATGATGTATACTTCTATTTATTCTGTCGCTTATTTTCGACGTCTTTGAAATTTATCATATTGTAATCCGGTTCGAGCCTTTGCTACTCTTACGAGGCCACACTCAGACTAGGATCACTGGCCTCGCAAAGACTGAGATTGATCGTTGCGCCACCTCTAAGCGTATATGAGTTGACGATTATGACTTGGATAAATGAGAATTTGTCCATCGATATGATTATCGGCCCTGGTTCAACGTGAATTCCAGTGCGTGTTCTTGGGTTGCTAGATTATTATACCAGGAACCAGATACTCACCTTCGCTTTTCATACATCCCAACCGGCCTATCACCAAGACACGAGGGTTATCATATATGACTCTTAAGGACTGAGTGTGGGAGTTTACTCTAAGCAATTGTATTTTCTCCTTAACATCCAGAATTACTCATTGTCCAGGAAATCACTCCGAAATCACCAGCCTCTCAGCAAATCCGGAGCCAGACCCAGAGACACATTGGCCACGGAGAGTTCTTGGCTTGAGGAACGAGAAATTCGCACACTATCCGACAAGTTGTCTTAGGAAAACGGCCATCAGCAGGTCGGGACAGACAATGAAAGTCAACTGATGAACATCTGTGTGTGTAAGTGTGTTCGCGGATATACCTCGACTTGTTATGTGAGGAGGTGCTCATAATGAGGTCCGTCAAAGGCAAGGTTTCTGGATGTGAGAATGTCCGATACAAGGTGATCTTGAAAATCGTTCCAGGATTGTCCAGGGAACGTCCTGTCGTATAGAATACTGGTTATCAAGACAGCCTAACTCTTCTTATGGTTTGCCGGGGGAGGCACCAGTGATTTGCTATAATGACCGCAACTTTATCGGACATCCTGAGCTGTCTTACAGTGCAGTGCCATTTGTATGAGGAATGAAATAGCGTTAATTGCACCTACTGCAAGTACTTCAATATTCTTGATACTATTGCAAGGATTTCCTGGTCGTCAGAAACTTCTGGGATGAGCGTACGGCGACGCTGAGCAGGGGAATAGTATTCGATGATCATACTGCCCCCTTGCTGGGAAACCAATCTGTTAGCCAGGTTAGAACATGTCTTCTACCAAGCAGTTGATTTTCTGTTGTGTCATTAGCTATGTCACCTTACCCTGATCCGTGTTCTCTGAGCTAAATATGGGTAACCTGTAGGACTCAGTAGGAGGGATTCAGAAAGCTAATCTATATAGAATAGGCCTTTTATTACTTGACATTTTCGCAATCTCCAGCGTCCAACCCATTGCCCAAGAGGCAGATATGAAGCCCTGGTATATACTACATTAAACTATGTTGATATCACATAAATAAGTGACGTTGAATTCTACTCTTTCCTTTCGCTTCCCTAGATCGTCTACTAATATTGTTTTGTCTATATGGTCGACACAATGCCAGCCTCTTCTCCCTATACACTGAGCGTGTTTAAACACTCGCAGATTCTTCTCTGCATGTGAGGGGGCCCATTGGACCCAACCGCGGAAATCTAAGAATCCTAGGAATAATTTCCAGTCGTTGTCTCCGAGAGAATCTTAAATCCATTCGTGTCTTAACCCAGTGGGGACAGTGGGATGATCCTAGCCTATATGTGGAGGGCTTGAGAAAGCGCTGCTTATGTGTCTTACCTTAAATCATGGCTAGCCCTAACCAGAACAATCGTTGGCAACTCTTGTGAACGACCGTCCTGACAATGGTTCAGGGTCGATCCGTTTGGACCAACCGAGGTTCCCAAAGCTGGAATAGACACCCGAACCAAGGTAGTCCTCGTCTAGTCCTCAACTGCGTCCATGATCAGCAATGGCACCGGTTCAACCAAGCCCTAAGGAACAGAAGCCATTTGAATTGCTCCAGGTTGAATTCGAAATATCTCCACACAAGGGGTAGCCTTATGCATAAGTGCATTAAATTAATAGTTATTACCGAGTGGCCCCATGTAAAGGTGCCTCGCTTAACATATTAATTTCCCACGGAATTCATAGAATTCAAAGCTTTATAGCATGAATGAAGAAAGGTACTTCTAGACTCCAACGGTTGGTGGCTTTTGAGTCACGTCGGGTAGTTGATCGGCGGGGTAGTCATTGCCTGAGTCATCCACCGTGGAATCGATACGCAGGTGTAGAGGTGAGTAAGAAGATGGGCAAGAAGGTAGCTAAGGAATACGAAGTAAGCATAAGCAAACCTGCGTTAACTCTTGCTGTCCGTTCGGTGACTCAGGGTGCACGTGATGTAATCTGGTTTATGATTGATGGAATTTGATATAGACAAGCGATCACCTGACACACAGCCAATATCAAGGCTTCCTTTGTTCTGTGACTCAATCGATCTACCTCAAATCAATTGGAGCCCCAGAGGTCCATTATCTTTTCTTTTTAAAATCTACCTCTATATAAAATATATCTGTATAGGTGGTATCTACTCAGTTGGGAGTGTATTCGTCGGTATCCAACAGTTCAGCTACAGATTCCAAGTTTCACGTTAAACAATCTTGACTGCCCTGTCTTCTAACACGATATATCTACTTCTCCTTCCTACCAATCTTTACATCTGATCCGGCGGCAAGATGTCGGACACCCCTGAAGGTATTGTTGAACATGCCTACGACAATATTACCGAATGGTACCTGCAGTGGGTGAAGAGCCAGAAATCACCGCGAGAAAGATATACCCAGATGCTCCTCGACAAGCTGCAACCGTCACCCTCTATTCTAGAGCTTGGTTGCGGTCCCGGAGTTCCTATTTTGAAAATGCTTCTCGACCAAGGCGCTCAAGTGGTTGCCAATGACATCTCAACCAAGCAGATTGAGATGGCTAAGGCCCGTTGCCCGGGGGCTAAGCTGGTTGCAGGCAGCATGACTTCCCTTACTTTTGAGCCTGCGAGCTTCCATGGTATAATTAGCTTTTATGCGTTATTCCACCTCCCACGGTCGCAGCTTAAAGCTATGCTCACCTCGATCTATGATTGGTTGAAGCCCGGAGGTGTCTTCGTTTTGAATTTGGCGACTGTCGACGAAGAAGAAATCCATGGCGAATTCCTAGGACATGGAATGTTCTGGAGTAGCTATGATGTGGATGAGAATCGAGCAATGTTAACAGAAGTCGGATTTGAGGTCTTGCAGGTGGAAGTATTACACGCAAACGATGGGACGTTGGAGGAGGGAGATCCAGACTATGATTCCGAGTTTATGTGGGTAATGGCACGAAAGAAAGAATCTCCTGACGACCCAAGCGGTGGACAAGGAGTGTGACGGTGCTCTCTGTATCTGTTCTGTCACTAATTTGCAGGTTGGGGGGATGCAAACACATGTAGTCGAACTTATCTCCAGACAACATCTGATGATTCCTCTAGCCATTAAGCTCAGTGTAGCCATTCGTAGTTGCCTGCATGGCCTCCCCAACGGCGTAGCCTAGGCCTTCAGTCTCAACACGTTCTAGATAAGCTTTATAGCAACCGTCGACAGCCTCCGTGTGTAGCAGTTCAAGGACAAATGACCATCAACGTAAGGATACTCAACCGCGAAGTGGGGCTTGTAGAAGTCATAAGCATGCCGAGAATAGGAACCTCGCAAGCCAGGCTTGAGAGCTAGGACAGCATTAGGGCCTACTAACATGGCTACACAGCCTGCGCCTCCAGTTGACCTTGCGTTGCCCTTCTCATACAGTGCAATATTGGATACGGACCTGAGCAGGAAAGTATATCTTAATGACCTTGATGCCGACATTTACAGGTAATGCCATGTTGATCCCTGTAACTTCGGTCAACCGCTACCTGTACGGGGATGTCACCCTTTCGGACGGCACAGTGTTACCCAAGGGATCTCGCATCTGGATTGCAGGACGCCTTTGCGATCCAAATCTGTACCCGGAGCCGGAGACGTTCGATGCTTTATCACTTTTTGAAGCTGAGGAATGAGGCCGGGAAATCTAACAATTGGCAACACACCTCCATGACTCCGGAGCATCTGGAATTCGGCGATGGAGATCATGGATGTCCAGGAAGACTCCTGACAAGCAATGAGTTGAAGAGTGCACTTTGCTTCCTGCTGTTGAACTATGATTGGAAGTTGCCTGACGCCCAAGGCAACCCGACCTTCATTCATTTTGGAAGATCAACACCTCGGTCGATCTCGGGAATAGTGCCAAGACCACAGATCTCTGCCTGAAATAGAATAGAGTTTCCAAGATATATAGAGGAAATACAAGAGAAGAATAGAGTAAAGTAAGAGATAGATAGTAATAAAACTTAGAAAAAATAAATGAAAAAGAAGTAAAAGAAGGCAACTACTTTATCTATATCTATTTTACAGATGTTGTGCGGTGGTATAGCTAAGATAGAAGAGAAATTTGTAGATACTTAAGCAGTGAAAGGATCAACATATATTAGCCATGGCCCTGAAAAGCGGTCTGGAACAAACATTTCATCGGCAAGAATGAAGCAAGGGGTCTTAAAAATTAAGATTGACAGGATCACATTCTACAGACTTCTATTTGACCTGTTACTCCAGGTTAAGCGAGCTGTGCAAGATATAAGTTGACGATATTCCCCTCTCTTTCTGCCAGCAATCCCCAAGCAATTATTTAACGTCATCTCTATCAGAATCGATACTAACCAGATCCCACTTGGCAGTTAAGCTATCGTGTCCCAGAGAAGCACGTAAGTCTAACATGCTCAATATTAAGCGGATTCTAAATAACTCCATTCAATAGCAGGCCTCACCGTCAACCACGCAACACAGATATAACAACATAAACGGTCGCCATGCGTTTCTCTCAACTCCTCTCCATTGCCTTTGCCGGCGCTGTAGTCGCTCAATCTACCGTCGTACGTTACTCTACATTTCTTAAATAGGCGGACAAGTAAGTTTCTAATTTTTATCGCATAGGCAATTGTTTACCTCGAACCTGAATTTTCAGGGCCGTCGCAGCAAATCAGCTCTATAGGACAGTGTGCCGTCATCGATCCCAGTACCATGCCTCCTGAGGCGGGATCCATCCAAGTCGCCTCGGGTGTCATGTGCACCACCTACTTTGACTCACAATGCCAAAGTCCAAATCAGCACCTCACGGGCACCCTGTCTAACATTCCGGAGCCATCGGACATGCAATCTATTCTTTGCCAGCGGCTAGACTAGGAATCGATTATCATATCATGAATCAGATCAAGAGCTGCCCGAGCGAGGTTGAGTGCCATTGGTGATGATCACAGTCGGCCGCTTCTGAGTTGGATAGAGGATACAGGGTTGGGGAATCTGGGTGGGAAACTTGTAACTTACAGGGCTGAATCTACCTTGATATCGCTACCGTACGGACTACGTTACCACGCCTTGGTCTAGTACATCTTGGCATTAGGGTTTAGAAAACTATGAAAGAGTGTAGGTGGTGAAGCCGTTCTGCAGCCGAGCTGATGGCCATCTACTATGCCATCAGCATGGTTCTTCCGCTGGCTACAACAAACAAGAATCCCCCAATTATGCAACATGAGCCGGCAACTATCCTAAGTGACAGTATGTCAGCACTATAAGCCATAGCAAACCTAAGGAATAATTCAGGGCAACGAGTCATCCAGCCTATTACCCACTCCGCTAGAGAACTAGATATATAATCCCTCTTTGCCTCCAATAGATCTCAGGGCACTGCGGTGACTCCAGTAATTAAGTAGTAGATTCACTGGCTAAGAAAGAGACAGTCAGCTCTAATAAGTAACATCTATTTCAGCACCTTCTCTCGCGAGAAAAGAGATTTATCTACAAAGAAATCCGGAAACAATTGGATAATAAATAAAGAATATCCCCCAAAAGATAGTTATCTCTGTTAGATAAGAATCTATCCTTAATATATACCCGGAGACTCTATAGCTTACTATCACAGAACCGAGCCTACCTGCTTATCTAAATCTGGACTGGCTATTTACCTATAGCTAGCAACACACACCAAACTATACTGTTTTAGAAAAAAAGAATGAATATGAATACAGAGCAGCAGAGACAGTTATCCATATCCTAGTTAACTGCCCAGGGGCCAGGATTAAATAGTCTCCGCCGAATATTGCGGATGAAAATTGGGAATACTTTCAATAAAATATTAAGTATGCAGGGAGAAGGATTACAAGGCAAGCCAAATAAGACAATAGTATTGTCGGTGCAGTACTGGACTTCACAGAGACGTCGCAGAGATCTCAAAGCCGCGCACTACAGAGCCACAGAATATAAAACCAGGTATAAAGGCTACCACAGACCATAACAAGACTCTAAATTTGTTAAAAAATAATAGCTTATATATTTAGATAATCTCACAGGACTAGATAGTGGGATCCTATATATTGCCTAGATAAGGCATTATTGTATCAATTTAACCAATCAACCAACCAAGTCTATATTATTTACCGAGATTAATATAATTCCCTAACTGCCCTAGTAACTATATGATAAGCAATATACGAGACTGCTCAATCGGATCTGAGTTCTGATTGGCCCACAATTCTGGGTTTTGATTGGGCGAGAATTCACTCCTGACGTCACTTTCTGCTTTGTCTTATACTAACTAACTAGGGCAGTTAAGGAATTATATAATCATTTCAAGCCTCTCTAGTTAGGTAATCTAGGCAGAACCCTGGGCCTCCAGTAATTTAACTAATTTCTAGATTATTTAAATTGCCTATATAACCTAGATCTCTAGAGCTTTAAATTACCTGCGTGGCCTAGATCTCTAGACCTTTTGAACACACTGCAATGCCTCGATCTCTAGAGCTTTTGAATACACTGCAAGGCCTAGATCTCTAGAGCCTTGAATTGTCTGTGTAGCCCAGATACTGAGAGTCTTTAAATACACTGCAATAGCTAGATTTCCAGATTATTTAAACACACTACAATACCTGCAGACTCCAGAGCCTATTCCACTAGGGTAGATAATCTAGATAGTCTAAACAGTATAGTATAATCTTTTAAATAGTCTTAGTAATTTAGGTGGTCTAAGGTCATGTGATTCCACCGCTGTGCAGGCTTCGTTGCCAGTTTCTTGAGCTGGCAGCCCCTAGTAACCCTCTGAATTTCGGATAAAAGAATTCCCAGATGGCGCTTGAGCATTGCGCCATCCAGGCCCAGTTATCCTCTAAAAAAAGGTCAGTAACGTAATTATCTTGAGGAAATACGTATTACGTCAGCTGCATGAAATCCTCAAGGCGGATCAAATCGCGGTAAAGTGACGAACTCCGAATTGCCTAATTTAGTTAGCTTTACTACAAGTCAAGACACTTTCCGATAGGTCCGTCGTCCTTGAAGCCTATAAATGCACACCTGGACATATAAAGCGACATCTCACCGTTCGATCATTCAATTTTATTTGTTCTTTCCCCGTTTCCCCTCCATATTCCGCACCATTTCATTTTATTGTCTAATACTGTTATCTCCACTCTCTGCGCTCTCGCTTGTCTTCAGTATACACTTCCCTTAGACTTGTTGCCCGATTAGCCTCATAAGGATGCTTGATACAGATGATAAGCAGAATACTGGCCTTGTTGACTCGGGGCCACAGGTAAATATTATATGCTCAGCCCCAGGGTTTGTGGTGCCTGATCCAGACAGCGTCAATAAAAAGGTTACCTCCAGTAATATGATCTTTAACTGGGGTGGTGTGAAGATAGCAAAGATATCTCCTGATATTATTGTGAAATTCGGATCCCATGTCACATCCAGCGAAGCGAAGAACATGATATTTGTCGAGCAAAACACGGAAACTGTACCGGTTCCAAAAGTCTTTGCTTGCTACTCTTATGGCCCAATACATCGGGATATCGAAGACTACGGTAGTCTGTTCGATACTTACATATTCATGAGCTATGTCAACGGTCAGAGCCTAGATACAGTTTGGGGGACTTATGATGACGCTACAAAAAATCATATTACTAGTCAACTGAAAGGGTACTTCAACCAGCTTCGCCAAATAAGCGACGGGAACTACATCGGTTCTGCTGGTCTTGGCCCCGTTACTGATCCAATTTTGGAAAGCCATCACACAAAGGGTTCATAGTGTCTACACCAGAAAATCAAATAATGCTAATACAGACAAGGGCCGTTTAATTCCGAAGGAGACTTCAATAACGCAATCATCGAGGCATATCAATCAAAGGCACCAAAACGTCACATCAGGGGCTTCTTGGCTGGCATGCTTTCACAAAAGTGTCACAAAATTGTGTTCACCCATGGAGATCTACGCCTTCAGAATATCATGGTCCATGATGGATATGTCAGTGGGATTCTGGACTGGGAATTTAGTGGCTGGTATCCAGAATACTGGGAGTTCTCAAAAGCTCTTTATGTTTGGAAGTGGCAAAATGATTGGACTGACTACCTAGTACGGGTTCTTGAACCCTACTATTCCGAATATGCGGTCCATTCGTTCTTGGCTGAAACACTTTGGTGATAGTAATTCATATGTCCGCCATCATTCGTTCACACTAGTGCCACAGGACCATAGTTATTTCTCAATACACTCCTTTCCCAATCTGCTTAAAAATGATCATTCCAATGTTTTCATGGATCGACCCGAACTTGGACTTGAGCACGAAGTTTGATTAGGCCAGTGTTTTCACCTCGGTCAAGACGTCATCCACCCAGTTAGAGCAATTCCGTGCCGGTGGGTCGGGGCTTGTTTCGGTCAATACTAGGGGGGAGGGTGCTTCTGCAATATCTCTTCAAAACGTGCAAGCTGGGTCTTTGGCAGTTGAAACTGCAGAGTGGAGCTTTTGTAGGATTTGCTGGCGCTGAAACGGTATGCCGGCCTTGATTCGTAATCCATACCCACACCAACATCTCCTGTAACATGGTAAAATCTACCAGCACCTTGGTTTTCGTTCTGTGCAGGGACCAGAGCGATGCCCTCGTGGTCTGGGCCACGTCTCTGGCTGAAGACAACTCGGTAAACATTATAGGTAATTGTCTCGACAGACATGATAACAATATTTCAAGAAGAGATATTTTAATAGCGAAAGAAGATAATATAGATCTTGGGGACTAGAAGATACTGGGAAATGTCTCATCAGAAATACCAAAAAATCACTTGTTATTTATACCTTGAGGTCAGGGACATTTGTTCATAAAACATAGAGTAATTAGCCCACGAAATAACCGCCCCATGGATATTCAGGCGGAGTAAGACAGGTGCTAAGCAATCCAATAAGGAGTTAGGAGTAGATGAAGCCTCCAGTAATATCATAAAGTACAGGTGTGTTCGCCATGCAAGCTTGGTCACGGCGCTTCGGAGTGTGGTGCGATGTAGGATTGGTTGGCTCTAGGTACTTGCTCCGAGTATATCAGCCTTGTTTTTTCTATATCGAATCATCTGAAAGGAAGGATACACACTAGGCACTCATGGCAAATACCTACAACCTACGAACCCCATGCAACACAGCCCGTGAATGCCTTGCGCACATAGCCTTGTCAGGATGAAACGTGGATTGTTGCACCTCAGCTAGAAAGAGTAATTTCTAAAAAAAATATGAGAGGCTGTAAGTTGGCGTGACATGCAAAGGACCTCTCTAGCACTACACTTCAGCGCTTACAAAAACGTTGAAAGTAAGCACAACATGTTCTTGGCCATTTACATGCCCAGGCGCCCTAGTGTAGCTTCAACAGCTTGTCAGCCTTGATAGGCAGATAAAAATAGTGATGCCATAAGGGTCGGAATCTGCGATCTAATGAGTCAATGCAGCTAAAGCTGAGACGGACTATACCTATAGGTATTTGGTGTGATAACTGACCCTAAGCGCTTTGCCAATTAAGTGGAGCTGTTGAGGCACAAAATACACCTCAAGCGCGGATCTAGATAATAATAAAGGCCGAGCACCAATCTAAATCGGCTGTAGTGACGCAAGTAAGAAATGTGCAGCAAGCTAACTATCCAATCATTAATCTGAACGTTGGCGACGAAAATGAGTGGCGGGATGGCTGGTGCTCCTGTTTTGTTCTTATTTGTTCTTACTCAACCTTGAGCGGCACCAATCGGACACGACACTGGCGACACTTCTGCGAACCTGCATAAATCGAAGGAGTAGCAAACTTGTCAATAGAAATTTGTATAAATGGTAAAGCCCTTACTGGGTTGACTGCGAAGCTTACACTAGCGAAGTTCGATCCCATTTGAAATACACCTCTGTACTTATTTATATATTTAACTTAGTTCTTTATAATTAATTTATATTATTATCATAGAGTTATTTTTAGTAGTAAAACTAGTCTTAATTTATTCATACTCTTTTAACTATTAGATATATATATTTATTAGACCTGACTCTTTAGACTCGAGTCTAGTATTAATAGCAGTCTTGTACTGACTGTATTCCTGTGGCAACAGCAGTCTAGTATCGACAGCAGTCTTGTATCAACTACATCTCTCAACAGAAGTCAAAGAACAACATCAGGTTAGTAACCCTTGTGTGGTCCGCTATATGGTCTCAGACTTGACGACGAAGCCCCGGGCGTAACAGCAGCCCCTAGTATTGATGGCAAATCCAGGCCGTCTACAATAGAGATACGAAATATTCCAAAGTATATTTATTATTCCATATCATCTTGTACCATATTTTTCTTCCTCTACTCAGTACTCTACTGCTTCTCAGAACTAAAGAAAATAAGACTTCTATATATACTTATCTAGAGTAGAGTATACCTCTAAGACAGTAAAAGAATTCCTAGATACTAATAGTAAACCTTGTCAATTCTACCAATAAATATTTATAATTTCGTAGAGGAGAACAGCTAAGATACAAAGAATAAACTTATAGGCACCTAGTCGCGCGAGCTCAGGGCGGCGCTTCTCACCAACTAGAACCAGAAGGGGAGGCGTCGAGGTGCTCGTAGATTCTTGTTCGATAGGGCTACTGGTGTCACCTGTCAGAGATGCTTCAATAATACATTTAGCCGATCGTTTTATAGCCACCGAATGTACCCAAACATCATGCAGTATGCCCAATTCAACTCCGAGTTTCCGATACAGCTTAATAGCAGACGCTCATATAGCTTTGCCTTCTCTTCTTCGTATATGGCTCTTTGACACGCAGTAGAAATTCCCCCGTAACTTAAATTTCATTTCGAATGACCCATATATAGATAACAGACAGCCACGGTGTGCCACGTAACCCAGTATAACAAAATATTAGCTACTAAGACATTCTTTACCTAGAAAGTCCTGTGAGAGGTCGGGGATCTTGTCACCCCACAGATCGCAGCCAGACTTGTTCTCATCCTCGCAGTCCGTCCTCTACGCAAGGGTACCACCATGATCAAGGCTTCTCAAAAGATTTCGTTACAGTTCCGCTCCATGCTAGTAGCTACTGCGTGTCTAAGGTATTCACAGAGATGCAGCTATTCCAGGCAGTGGAAAAAGTAGGATACCGCATTATCCGGCGTGAAGGAACGGTTTCCGTCGCTTCGGACGTTCATATTGAGCCCTACATTGACGGTCCGGAGGTTGACATGCTTTGTCCTCTGGGACGGGGAGATTCTGTTCTCTGATGTGCCCGACGACTTCCCAAGTGAGGCAGATAGCCCAGAAGCCACAGCAGCTGATACTTTCCAAGAGGCCGCGTTTGCCCACCCATCACGGCTACCACCCAGCGAGCAGGATCTCCTACACCAGGCGCTATTGGGTCGCATTCTCCATAAGGGGTTCAGGAGTGGTGTCTCCCACATTGAAGCGCGTGTCAGGCATTCCGCCTTGAAATATGTGAATGAAAATGGGACACTGAACCTGCGCTACAACGTAATGAGGGATGCGAACCAATGGTTAATGCCAAGCGTGCTCCTCGAGGTCATGCCCTGCCCACCTGGTATTATGGCCTCATGTCCCTCGCGTAGATTTACAGGGTCAACTACTTTGCTCTCCATGTGCTCCATGCACTGGGGGAGAAGCCCGCATGCGAGCACTATCCCAGCCATTTATGCGGGAACCGCAGCATGACGGGCACTCATGTTAGTTATCTCGGGGCGCGGAGGGATTCTCACTTCTGCTAACCCGGCGGAGAAGTTCAGGGACGAGCATCAAAAAGTCATGGACGATATCCTCTTGCGGCGAGAACCATCTGCCAAAGGAAACTTTGTGCCGGGTCCCCACGCACCAACTATAGGCTTTCTCTCAGTGCGGTTACCCGAGTAGAGCAGAGTTGGCCCTGACGAGACATAGCTGATATTAGGATCGAATTCATTATTTTCATGTCAATTCATAGTCATAGGATACGCAGTAATTTCATCGCAGCGAACCTTTTCCTGTGGATGGATTATACCCAGCCCATGTTAGTCACTGTCTCATGTTGACCAACAGCACGATACCATTTGGACCTTTGATACGAAGATTAAAGTTATAATCGCTTCATTATTTTACACAAATAACAGTGGATAGAGCATATTCAATCAATGTGCCCACGTATGCTGTCGCAGAGAGCTTGAATAGAACCTGATAATGGCTAATGCATCTACTGCCACCGAAAGAACTCAGGCATACTGGTATCCAACCCCAACTCGTCTAGCCAGTTTAAGAAGTCCTCACTGGTTTCAAGATCATCCACGGTCGGTATTGTCTCACCTTGATCGTAGGCATTTAAAGACACCCCGATCGAATGGGAACTATCCCGGATTCGATCACCGTGGTTCGATGCAGGCTGATTGCCTGTGCTGGGCTGTGATCCATCTGTCGTCTGTGCGCCTGAAGGGTAATCTAAAGTATCATCTAAGAGCTTGACCATTGCCTTGGTGACTTCCACGCAGGCCTTATGTGTCTCACTAGTCAGTGGATTGGCACTTTCAAACCAGGACACAAGCAGGCTTAGATCACGGATAATCCTGGACCGGGGGATGGAACATGGTAGTGGCACTCTGGACACTGTACAGCGATGGAGTTCCGTTGCAACGACGCCTGCTGCCGGGAGAGCATAAAAGAGAAACTAGTCGGCCCCTACAGGTTAGAGTCTGGAAGACAGAGATGGAAACAGGTTGTAATTACTTACAATCCACGTGTACTGCCCCCGGATGCTGCTTTCTTGATCGCGTTGCTTTGCAAAGTCCGTGACGGCCGAGACGATCTGCATGGCCGAGTCCAGAAGATCTGTCATGGCATCGGGACTCTCACTGCAACGGATGCGCTCGACCTGAAAGACCGTATAAAGATATTCCAGATGGATGACCAGACTTATTATGGACAAGTGCGGGCCTAGAACCTCCCAGGAGTGCTTGCTGTAGTGAAACTCACTGGGGACTCTATCCCACAATCGCTTACACTCTTGATAGGTAGTCCTACACGCATGTTAGCTTCACTAGACTGAGCGAGAATTCTACGCTATTCATCCTACTGGAGTTCATTTTCTCTGGAACCAACTAAACCCCGCCCCAAAGACAGTTCCATCACCTGCTCTCGCAGCCTCGCAATCATGTATCGCAGCCGGATGACTGTAGCAGGCCGAAGGCCACCGTTGAACGTACCCCACCCATCCGGTGTAAGCTGCCTAACAGTTTTATCGAGGGAAAGACTGTCCAGGACGACACTATGGTCATCGAGATCCAAGGGTAGTCCCACGTCACAATAATGGTAGGGAAGTCGAGGCGGCCGTCCCAGGAATGTAGCGAGATTCTTATCGGTGCGATATGACGCTGCGAAAACCCTCTTGCGGGTCTCCGAGAGGAAGAATGGGATGGACGGCTTAGGAGGGTGTGGACGATGTAGGCCCATGGCGTGGATGCAGGAGACCAAGTCCCCAAATTGCGCGTAAATCTGATGGCCTATTCTCTGTTAGCCTTTCGTATTGCGTTATGCAGTGTACTGGCATTACTTGTTTCTCCCATTATATTTGATGCCAATACGAAATACGCGTAATTAAGCCAAACCACTAGGTCATTGACATTGTCGTACTGCCTGCAGATTTCAAGACATGCATGACTTGCAGCTGCCATCTCCATGGCAAAAGCATCTGAGCTGATTTCATCCTTGCCATTCAGAGAGAACAACGGGGAGGAAGACGATACACTGACACCGAGTCCCGCCATGGCGAATATGAGGCCGACAAACTCCCATCGCAGATTCGCACCCGTGAACGAATGGTAAAACTGGTCCGTTGTCATGTTCGATTCCACCTTGATCAATTGGGTGACTGTGTTCTGGGTGATCCGGGATCCCAAGTTCTCTTGCGGCCATCCCTCCCTGTCCCAGTGTTTCCGAAGCAATCTTAATGGCGTAAGCACAAGAGGAGCTGGGATGACCGTGAACGAGCTTCGATAGTATTTGTCGGTCACTAAATCTTCATAGAGCTTAAGGGGGCGCAGAAGCTGCACCAGTCGGGGAAATACGTGAGTGAAGTCGGCACTCCAAGCCTTGCGCAGGGTAGATGCATGGGCTGTTTTCAGTGTTGAGAGGCTTATATCCTGTTGATCGTGGTGAAACGCTGACATGAAGCTGGTGTATCCCAAATAAGTTGGCTGAGAGGCAGGAGTTAGGCCTATCTGAGGCCCAGTTGGTACAACGCTGTCACCACGGCTGGAAGAGGCGTCGAGGGCCTCATCATCCGCACGCGATGTATTGACAGGAGACACGCTGCGAGGTGCCCGTGGCTTCTTCCGTGGTCGAGTTAAAGGGGCCGGATGATAGTAGCACTGGTACTGTCAGCCCGCGCCTTACAGACCCTGTGCTCATATGCAAATTCCGATCGGAAATAGATTCACAACCAAGGCCAATGAAGTTTGTACATGCCTTAGAGCTTAAACCCCTCGTATCACATCGTCTACACGTCGGTTGTTGATGATCACACCGGATTTTAGAGATGCGACACGGTTCACAGGATATTGGTTTACCATTCTTCCGGACCATGCCTCGAGAAATATTCTTCATGGTAAACAGGCCCTGCGATTAAGTATCGCCTTTTCTCTTATTCTCGACTTGTCGATGGTAGTCATGGTGGAGGTGGAAAAATAGTCGGAGTGGCTGTCGGTTACTAATCGCAGATTTACTGCGCTCGGGATGAACCCTACACTATCTAGGGTTGTATTCCGAGCCCTGTCGGAATGAAATGAATACAACACCTTAACTGAAGAGTTCATATCAGATCCTCCCAACGAATTGGTCGCCTATGAAAATTGTTTAATCATCTTAATATATTCTTTTACAATTTCCCCCCTCGACCAAATGCATACTCACCCAACCTGTCGTTATCGATCCAATCTCTACTATCCACCGGCATCAAGCATAGTGACGTCCGTCAGACAAGATGAGCACGTCAGACGATATTGAAGGACAGAAAGTGGTCACGTCCAATAAAAGTACGGGGAAATTACAGCAAGTTCAAACGGTAGCAAGTGCACATGACGAAGAAGATTTACTTCCTGTGGTTGACGAGGTACCCTTCCCAGTATGGCTGCGCATTCGTGGGAGCTGCCGAGCGTTTTGCTTGGTATGGGGCAACCAGCCCTTTGCGTGAGTCTTATTGTCAATTGACTCAATAGTCAGACAAAGCATTCTAATCTCGAGCAGAGAATTACATTCAGCATTCTTCTTCCAGCAAGATTCCCGGCATACTAGGCCTGCGCGAAGCGACAGCAACCAATGTTGTGAACGCGATGCTGGCTGCCGGTTATCTCGCAACGATATCAGCAGCGGTGGTGGCCGGTATGTGGCTGGGCCGGTATAGAACTATTCTGACCTCTGCTCTGTATGATCTTGAGTGGATTGCTACCATGCTCGTCAAAACTAATCATTAGACAGCATCCAACTCTGCGGCTCTGCGATTTTGTTTGGGACCTCCTTTCCTCGCGCCGTTCAGGCCGGTGCCGCAGAAGGTGGATTAGCCACCGCTATCGTGCTCATTGCTCTGGGCTCGGGAGGCGTGCGATCCTCCATCGCTCCATTAACGGTATGCCACGATGGAAGCACCAGTCGCCTAAAGTTGACGACCTCTTCGAGCTGACCGGACATAGCGGAGCAGTACACCGAAGTAACTCCCAAGGTCAAGGTGCTAAAGAACGGACAAACAGTCATCACAGATCGAGGGCTTACAGCCCAGTACATTTACAATGTGTACTATTGGTATTTCCTCCCCGTGCCTTGTTTCCACATCTAGCACTGTTGACACTTTCGGCGTAGGATGGTGAACGTGGGTGGACTATCGGCCCTGATCACCACAATTCTTGAGAGATATGTTGGATACTGGGTCTCGTACCTGGTGCCCTTATGCATGATGGCTCTGTCCATTATTCCATTGCTGGCGTGGCGACATAGGTTTGGTAAGTGATGCCTTCCATTTACGCCAGAGAAGACCCCAACCGTTCTCACAATCAGTTCGGCGCCCACCAAGTGGCTCTGTGCTGCCACAAGCCATCAGAGAAATGGTGTATGGTATTCGTGAGGGATTCCAGATGGACGAGGTCAAGCCAGGAAAACAACAAGAGAAGCACCACCGACAGGTGCCCTGGACCAATATATTCATTGACGAGTTGAAAGTGGATTGCTCGCATGTCGTCTTTTGTACGCCCCCAGTGTAAGGATGTCGATTTAAAGGCATGGACAACTGACATGATATTGTCTTCCAGTATTCTCTTTCCCATTCATTGGTTGTGCCTGAATCAGGCCTTCAATAACCTCATTTCCCAGGCCGGACAGATGGTTAATTCCGGGGTTCCGAACGACACCATCAAGTCACTCAACCCTATTGCCAGCATTATCCCGACTCCGCTGGTCTCAAGGGGCCTATACCCATTCTTAACCCGCCGTAGGTCGGATTCGGGCCCATGGCCCGGATTGTCATGGGATTCCTGTTTCTCACCCTCGCTATGGTCTACTCCGCGGGTTCTTGTTACGATCATCCCCTGGCGTGTGTGGAGTCAGATCATGGCCAGATTCCCAATCAGATCTCCATGTTCCTGCAAACGCCAATCTACGTTCTCGGTGCGATTGCGGAAATCTTCTGTTTCACCACGGGCACAGAATATGCCTACAATCAAGCCCCAAAGACGATGAAATCGGTGGTTCAATCGGTGTGGATGGCCACGGCGGGAGCTGGGGCATGTCTGGCCATGGCGTTTACGCCCATCACCAAGGACCCTCATCTGGTGATCGTGTCTTCGTCGTTGGCGGGCGTCATGGCTGTGACAACGGTTTTGTTCAGGGTATTCTTTGGAAGGCAAGATCGGGAGAAGACTGTCCTTCTCTGAGTCAAGCCACAGGAGCGGTTGGTAAACATTGAGGGAATCCAGGAGTTTTACATTCTGGTAGAGAGTAGAGGTATGTAGAAGGCTGGGGACGGCTGTTTTTGTTCTTCTCTTCAACAAGGACGGACACGATTATATGCGGGAACAAACGAAACCGTACTCAGATTGGTCGCTATTAAATGCTTTGATAAGTGCGGTAACCGACTTTTGCGTCCGTTGTCTTGCGTCTGTTATTCAATCATAAACTGTTGGGAGTGTACTTTGAGGACAGATATCCCGTACCCAGACGCAAAGTAATATACGCAGCCCATCCAGGATACCGAGAGAGAGGGAGGTGCATTATACCCGAATACAGATCCCTTTTTGGGGCTCTTCTCGGGTCGACAACGGCCGTTCAGTATATCTACTCAGCAGCTCTCATTGACATTTGTATCATAAATATGCGTATGTGTATGTACATTGGGCATCCAAAGGGGTCTGAAAATGCGGCGACTTAGTAGACTGCTCCCCCTTTCTGAGGCCTTATACTACCATTTATAAGGTTGACCTACTAGTCTAGACTAGTAGGTAGAAAGGTGCAGTCTTACTGGATGTGTCAATAAATATTGCATTCGAACATGGGTGTCAGCAGCGGAAATATGTTGGAAAGGCATCCTAATAGTAGGTAGGCTTTCAAAGGTGTGTCGATAAGAGGTAATGTCCTAAAATAGTGCTTTCCAGGAAACGTGTGTCATAAGGTTGATATCCAAAAACTCTTGGATAGGGTTGAATAGCTGCAGTTCTCTTATCCTTAATATAGACTATTCTATACTATGTAGGCCTTCACCGAAGGATTCAGGGCTATCCCGTGGATCACGTGGTAGTATTCTAGGGGGTCAGGCCCCTACATACCAACTAGTAGGTATGCTAGTATACTATAGTAGATAAGTTGACGAGTTGACGCGTTTCCCTAGAATAATAAAAATATAGCAGTAGAGGCGATTTCACCTTATCTCTTCGAGCGGAGGATCAGGCGTAGGGATGAGGGAAATCGGGCGATTTAAACGATTTTCCCATCCAGGATACATCCTACGAATCCTCTCTCACATACCAATAATTTCGTTTCTCAAAAAATATAGAAGTGGCCATTTGCTGGATAGTCTAACGGTTCGATACGAGATGAATCAACACCGTACAATAGATGTTTCCATATGCCCCACTGCTGGTTGGTGGCGTAGATTATCGTGCTAGATGCTAGGTCTAGGACATGTTGTTAGTCTGAGGCGAGCCTAGATGAATAGATCTAAAAACTTTGACACCGAGAGATGTTCTGCAGAGATTTTAGACCGGCGTGTTCTTGTCCATCTCATCGAAGCTCATAATCCCTTTTCAGTACCTACGGTCTCAGCAGCCTGAACATGGGGTTTGCCGGGTTAGGGTTGAAAATAATTAAGGCTCAATTTGACACAAGCTGTACCAGTCGGATCGTCACAGTGCCATCATCTGATATCACCTGCTGCCTTCTCCCGCCACCAGCTCACACTTAGCCGTCTGATCATCTGCGTTATTCTCTATAGCTTCATATTCCCACTACCGAGGACTTGACACTATGAGTGAGCCGGCTTCTGAGCCCCGGGGCTACCCCGGGCTGGAGGAAGAGACACTGCGGTACCTAGAATGAAAGGCTTATGTTGTTGGCACTATCGAGTATCGTCTGGACCGTCTCGTGGGAGAAAGCATGAACGTCTCTTACAATCAGCGACGCGCAGTGTTTTGGGCGACCAGGACCAGTGATGACATCGAGGTTATCATCAAGTTCTTTATTGAGTGCGGCTCCACAATCCCCCCTATTTTCTGTGAATGAAAGAAGGTTTAGACATCCTGAAGCTAACCGGAAGACAAGCGTAGACAACACCCCATTCTCGCCACTGTAGATGTACGCCGGCGCTTCCACGGGCTCGGACGTACCGCCATCGAAGCAGAGGTCCAAGGACTCGAGGCAGGGAAAGATGTGAAGGGCCTCCCGCATATGCTCGAGCGTAGCAGCGAGGTGCAAGGCCCGGAATTTGAGTATCCTGGGGGCGTACTGGACATCGTGGCAATGACCCGGCTGCCCGGATATCCGCTAGATCTCTTTCAAGGCCAGCTTGAGCAGTGGGAAGTGGGTTATGTCAAAGGCGAAGTGCTGCGGATTGTCAGGTAAGTAAAGATTACCTTACTTATCAGTTGCCTTCCCTAGGTCGTATGGATTGGATTGCTAATTCGGAGGCTTTGACAGGGAGCTGAGGCAACGGGGCCAGGCCTATACCCAGGGGGGCCCCGATAAGGTTATCTTTGACAGACAGGGCCTACAAGTGTATGGAAGGTGTTCTTTATCCTACCTGCCTTCACAATTATGACTAATCCGTAAATAGGGGTATCTGCTCTCTCGGCCATGCCACTCGCCGCGAGTGGCCTATTAGTGAAAACACCAATGTCATCAAGCAGCTGGGGAGGGACATTTGGTGGTTTTACGGACAATCGTGAGGCTCATAGTGCTACGCATTCAGCTAGCTTTTGCAGTTTAATTTATCAGCTTTCCTATTGACCCTTGTATGCTTCAACCTTTACGGATTGTAAGTATTATGGCATTATGATAACTCTTCCAGTCGTCCTTAGCTCAATCAGTACCCATCATAGTCCTAAATGAAGTACTCGGGGCTGAACCGTAGCCCCGTCAAGGTTTACTATTTAGGACTACGCAGGCCACTAGATGGAAAGAGCCAGACCTAGTTCAACTCTCGATCTTAAGCGAACTGCTCCACAGGGATTAATACGATCGTTCCCCACTCAACCACAGTACATAAAGCCTCGAGATCGACGGATCTACAGAACCGTAGCCCTAATAGGCTAAATAACAGAGTAAATCACTTCTAAACTTGACTAGTAGTCTGATTATCAGAGTTTTATTGGTTTTTTGCCAAAAGCGCCTGGATACGAGGAGACAAGAAATTGTCGAATTATTATATATTAGTTCGCTCACCGTCTAGTTATTGCTTGATCCTATTTTATTTCCTATTACTATACCAAAATAAATAGATAACTAATCTTTCTTCAAACGCGTCACATTTTTGGATACAATAGTCGGCAACATGGTCAAACTTATTATCCCCTCCTTTATGAGCGGTCTTACCCTTGCCCTGGCCGCCAGCAGTGCGTTCCCCGTTCCCTATCCAAATACTTCGACAATTAGCCAATGCTAATGACCGTTTTGGTGAAAATATAGGCGTTCCCGTCTCTGAAAATAACTTGTTACGAGACGCCGGATGTGACATTTGTCAACTGGTCGTCGAACCAATTGTGGCACTTGAGGGCGACGCCGCGCAGATCATGGAGAAAATGGAGAATGCTTGTCGCTTGCTCCCGGTGGATAGCCAGAAATGCGAAAACTTTGTTAGTGTATACGGCAGTCTGGTAATTAATTTTGCGCAACAAGGATTAGGCTCTGCTGCTATATGTGCCGCGGTGGGATTGTGTGGAAGTGCCTGAGGTGTAAGGGCGGTCATCTATCAAGAATTATCTACACACCCTTCCAGACACATAACCAGCTATCTGAGATGATTATTGGCTTAGGCCTATTATTAGAGCTATTAATAGAGAATTGGATTTACCCTTTAATAAGACTAGGGTCTACTTTCCTCATATAAACTATATTTTTATTATCAGTAACTGATATATTACTCTAGAGAGCCAGTAAAACGAATATATTATTTAAGTTTATCTGGGTCCAGTCACCTATAAGGAGATCTTCTTTATAGATATTTCTATAGCTAATCGAGGTATCAACTATGGTAGAGATATTCTGTTCTGCGCTCAAGGGTTATGGCTAGGCCCGGCGACTTGTGTTGGATGTCCACGAACCCCTCCATAGAAGCGAGAGCTGCGCGCACGTATGTAGCTGAGAATCGTAGACGGAATCACATATGTGTGTTTATATTATGTATATAAACACAGAATCATTGTAGGATAGGTTGATCACCTTTAATGAAGAGCAATGATGTAGCACAGGTAAGTCATGCGGAAGGGTTACGACGACAGCAGAGGTTTTACCATAAGCACAGTTAAGGCCAGACTATGTGAGTAGGTACATTGTCACTCCAGGCCTTCCAGGCCAAGGTGCACTGAGGAAAGGTTCTAGCCACACATGATGAACTGAGTTCTAAGCTAGGTACCTAAGCCCTCCCAACAGGATTGGGAAAAGCTACCACACCCGATTCAACATTTGTTGAATGATAGCAAGATGCAGTGCAATTCCACTCTGCAGTCACCGTCACTCACCTGGCCGACAAGATTAGGTGTTCCATCCTCACAGTTACGAGGCCATGTCCCAGGCCCAGGAGCAACATAGCTCGTTGGAACAGGGTGACCCAGTTCGATGTTCACGGCAAAGCCAACCTGATCACCGGGGGAAACGGTATAGGTCTTGGTATTCGCCATGATGGTGTCGTCGAGACCGCCTTGGTTGCAAATTATGTCCTGTGATTTGACGTCGCCGATAGGACTCACGCCGTTGGCTGTGCGGCGGACACATTCGTAAGGCTAGGTGATCACGCCATTGGCGATAGTGCGAAAGGGCACCCACCAACTGCAAAATCGAAAACGGCCAGAAGATAGGAAGAGACGTCTCTCATTGTTACTGCTGATATGAGATAGTTGAAACAATCAAAGTAATGTGTACCAGCACAGGATAAATAAGTAGAGAATCTGAGGAAACACGTTCGAAGTATGGCACCTGGCTGGGGGAATATTAGCGCTTTATACCTTGATTAGAATGCAGAAATAGAAAAATAAAACACTCCACCGGAATCAGTCCCTGCAAGTCTCATGCCATGTTACGATCCCTCAGCATACTTATTCCCGAGGAGAGGAGGGTAGAAGGAGCTCAAGCCTCCACATCCTTACACCTACGAGTCAGGTCAAATCAAGTCAGGCTCAACAATATCTTCCTAGGTGATAGTGACTGTTCTAGGGCTTCTTTGTTCCGCAATATACTTTGGATAGGATAGAATGCAGTCTGCCGTGGTCAGCTTTAGTCGGTATTGAATCTCTCTTGGTAAAGCCATTATTCGGCCTGTATATGACTGGAACAGCACCAAGATCCCCAAGGAAGATATGATTTAGGCCGATGCGAAGCAACCTTCCGTACTCTCAATGAAGAGCTATCTCGGTTTCATGATTATTGCCCTTTCAGACACTGTATAATTTCCATAATCGTGTATACTTGGCTAGCGTCGGATATGTATATCATGAAGAACGCGCTTATACCTTTTCGTGGGCAATTTGAAACCAATGACTACAGTAACTATGTAAAGAATCGCGCAAGACAAACACTCAGTATAGAAAACCGTATCTTGAAATTATATTAGCGAACCATTAGCCCTTCTCAGATACAACGGGATATGAACTAAAGTCCGAGACATAGAACTAGATTCTGAAAATAAAGACTTCTCGTCGAAGTAATCCCCGTGTTTATATCCATTTTATTGACTCGTTTAAACTCCGTGCATGTAGATGCCGTTTTCTAGGAAGCCATACGCTCAACACGACGCTGCAGCTCCTTGACCAAATCTATCCCAGCCTTGGTAGACTCATCCAGGTTCTCGTCCTGTAATCCAAGCAGGTCATTCTGTACCTTCTCCGAGAGATCATTGGAATCATCCGGATAAAACGCCCTCGCGTACAGCATCTTGCTAAAACCAGCCATGTTACCCACTTTAACTTGCGCCAGGCCATCCTCGTATCGCTTCTTGGTGTCCTCATGAGTTATCGTCCAGTCAGCGTCAGTAGTGCCGGTGACGCGCTTGACGCTCTCAAACATGTCGTTTTGGCTGACGACAAAGCTCTTAATGTACACGCCCTTGTTGAGAAACGTCGACAGTGTCAGGCTCGTATCGTTTTCGTTCTCAGGCAGCTCGTTCAGGCTCAGGACCTTGGCCACAGCGCGCCCAACTTGCGATAACGTTGAAGTAGAGTTTTTAGTATTGCCATCGTCGTAAATTGTCAAGGAGCGCTTGTCAAAGTCGAACCCAAAGCGCGTATCCCCGCCTGCCAAGCTGTAATCGTACCAAAACCCACAGCATACTGTGATCCACTGCATGCCGAGCCCCTCAATCTCGTCCCTGTTCGCTTTGGCTACGGGCCCCAGCAGCGTATCCTGGCCGAGTTTGATGTTGTCAATGTCGCCGCCGTATCCGTTAGGCATAATGTAGGGAACACCGGCTTTGGCGGCCGCCCGGACGAGCTTACTGTGGGTGTCCCGGGGAGCAGTAGGGGCCAAGGTTATGATAAAGAATTGCTGGCCCTTGAGGGCGGTAATAATGGTGGCCTCGTCATCGTAGTCAACTGGGGCGACGAGGACGCCCTCCGGCAGTTTGTTACCGCTGTCCTTGCGGGAAAGAGCCGTGACTGTGTGTCTTCCGGTCTTTAGAAGGGCATGGGTAATATGCGATCCAATTGTACCGCCAGCCTAAGTGTATGCGTTAGTGTTGTGGTATACATAATGGTGGCTGATTGCCTTTGACTTACTCCAACAATGGCGACTCGTTCAATAACGTTTTTGAAGTCGACGGACTGGTCTTTGGCGTACTTGGGCATAATGGTTCGGTTGATTATTAGAAATCGACTGATTGTTGTTGTTGCTATGGTCGAATGAGGCGGTTGAGGTAGTACTTAAGTCTGTGAGCGGGTGGTGGTCATTGCCTGGCTAATCCTCTCTGGAGCAGAGAATGCTGGTCTATTTATACCTTCCAGAGTTCTGATTGCTCTCTGCATCCCTGAATTTCTCTCCATCTCAGTCAGCCCTTGTCATATCTGATCGGGCTCAGAAACGGAGGATATCCGAGTTAACGAAGTCAGGACGTCAAACCTGATTCGCCAGTAGATACTAGAGCGGCGAACTAAGAAGCTACAGCAGACGAAGCCTGTCAAATTAAAGGCAGCGATGGTGTTGGTTAGGGCTCTGGTGCGGCGTTAAGTGATTAAGTCCGCAGTAGCCGCAGGTAAAGCCGCAACTAAAGCCGCACAAAACCCATGGCAGTGATGATACGGACCGACGGACTGAGGAATCTCCGACCATAGTATCTGCTATTTCCGAAATGATAATAATAGAAAAGAAATCCAAACTAGGAGTGCATATTTACATATACTCAATTGCCCCTCGCAGCGAGGCGCTATATGTCTATAGGCTTGCTATCCAACACACTCTCATTATTAATCTCGTGTGTATTGACTGAGTCTCCTCTACAATACAACGCCCCAAGTAGATGCAATAATGTGATATCTACTAATCAATTATGAAGGTGGGCAGAGGAGTAGGAGTCACTGGAGAAGCAGCCAGTCGTGAATGATGTGCGGGAACCTCGTATATCTTGCATCCAGAGTTACTCTTTGTGCCATTATGAAAATTGTCAATGTTGAGATGGCCCTCAGGATATTGGGTCATAGCAGCCCTCCTCTCCATCATCCTCCAGAACCCTTGAGCAGAGGCTGTATCCTGGGGGGATCTCAGGGCAATGCCGCATGTCGCTACTGGTTCGTTCATATCTAGATCGAGCTACAAGAGCCAGGTCAACCAGAAAACCCCGAGTTTTTTTCAATATGGATTCTCTCTACTTACACGGTGCTGGACTCACAGCAAAATCAGTTGGCAGATATAACCACCCCCAGAAACTCTCCTTGACGATCGACTGCAAGTATTGATGATGATGATGATGATGATTAACGCCTTACCCGCAGATTTTCGAAGCACAGCCCGGTATGTTCTCTGGAAGCCAGTACTATACAGTCAGGTGTTAAACTGTGTTTCTGTACCTGCTTTGCGGTACCAGCTTGGAGGAGACCATACATGCAGATTCGTGGACGGGCAGAGGAGCAACCAAGAAGGACCAGGTGCGGTTTGAACAGGCTTGGGCCGAGTGAGCCTTGTGCTCATTGCCATCGTTCCAGGGATCGAGACATTTGTGGCGGCCGACAACGACTATTACGCATATTAAGACACCAGGCCATAGTCCTGTGCCTTTCCGCACAGCGCTGAGACACTTGGGCACATATTGACCGATAGTTTCAACACCATCAAATGCATGTTTGCTATACTTTGACAGGCTATTGGGGTTAATTATCATATCAGATAATCACGTGATGCCTGTGCCTTTCAAGTGCTCGCTTGTTCTCTAGAAATCTCCCTCATGAATTACACGCACCATAAGTGCATCAACTCCATCCCCGAAATGCGGGGCCGGAAGATCATCTCTACTCCAGTTGTATGCCCACAGCAGTAGGCTTTGAAGCTCATAGCCTTTTGCCATTCATGTCGCCTACAATCGCCAAGCGTAAGCGCGCGAGAAAGGCATGTATCCCATGCCATCAGCGCAAGCGAAAATGTGACACTGTGTATCCCTGTGGCATGTGCACCACTTATGGATACGACTGCAGGTACACAGAGGACGACACCACTGATACTACGGGCGGTGGTGTACTTATTCCGCCCTCAGCCAAGCGCGTCAGCCTCGAAGGTGAAAGTCGTCTGACGAACCAGGCCCCCACAGCGCGCCACCCAGGCAGCCGGTCTCACATAGAGCGAAGCTCCCGCGAAGCCGATAGCTCGTCGACGAAGAGTCCCGCCGTTGTGGCCGGTGCCTCCCCGGGCATCTTTGACGAGCAAAAGTTTAGACACTCTGGGGCATCGGCGGCCATGGCATTCCCACACATCCTGGGTGTGGCTCTTGGCTCCGATAGTCCTCCCAAAATGCGGTCCTTTGCCTACAACTTTGGCATTCGTCCTGAGGAGGCGTCGAACACTCACTGCTTTCTGGGGAATCTCATCTCGGAGAATGACCTCGGCTTCTTCTCAGGAGTGTACTTCTCAATATTGGGTCCCATCGGCGACGTGATAGACCCGAGAATCTATGCCCAGCGATGTCAAGATTATTATCATAGTCCCTCCGGCAGCAACGCGGTCGCCTTTGCCGCCGTGGCTGCTGGTGTGGCCGCTCTTGGGTCGTTCCTATCCTCTAACAGTCACCCGCGGGAGCCTGACCTGGTGCAGTACGCCAAAGCTATTCTCGACGATCCGGCCTCTATGCGACTGCATGGTATCGACCATATCGTCGCGTGGGGTATGCGAGTGTTTTACCTACGGGCCACAACCCGCCCCAGCAATGCCTGGATCGCTTCGTGCACCCAAATGCACCTCTGTGAAGCGATAGGGCTGCACGAGGAAGAGAACATCAAGAAGATGGCGTCCATCGCCGGCGCCGCGATGCTTGGACATGATGCGGACCGACTGAGGAGGATTTTTTGGATCTCGTGGGCTGGGCATAACATGCTGTCCTATGAGTACGATCGTTCACCTGTACACTTTCGGGCCGTGACTTGCCAGTCTATTATCCCGGTATCCGGTTCCATTGCCGACCAATTCGTTCAGTTAATCCAGATTATCCCATCGCCCAACTCTCCGTTCCAGCTCGAGTGGCAGCCCCCAACTCCAAGTGAGGAGCTATTTGAGCGTCTCCGGGTATTGGGTGGGCTCCAAACCACACATCCATTCCTGGTGGTGACGAAGGCGGACATCGCGTTCTGCTTCTATCGTCGCCTTTACCAGCTCAAGATCCGCATCCCAGACGAGGTTATCGAGCTTATTATTGATAGCGGCAACGCCGCTGTGGAGGCAGCCGAGCAGCAAGCTAACCAGGGTCGTCTGTTTTGGAACGTAATCGGCAGCGTTTTCCAGTATGCCTGCATCCTGTTAGCCATCGACACGCCGGCCGCCTCTGTCCACATTGGCACTGCCTTCAAGGGCTTGGAGAACCTTGTCCAGGCTGCTGATACAGGCCTGACGCGTGAGGCGTTGTCAATGGCGCGGCATCTACTCAGTCTTAATATGGCGAAGAAGCGAAAAGAACTTGCTCACTTGGAAGCTGTCGAAGCCAACTATCAATTTTTTCCGGTGCAGCCCGCACCCGAAATTAACGCGGCTGTACCAGATATGGACTGGGCGGTGGACTGGGACCAGTTCTTTATCGAGCCATACCTATCGATGCTCGGTCCTGACATTCAGTTATAGGACTGCAGAGGTCATTGAATACTGACTGACCTCACTCAGCGGATATTCAATTTATAAACTACCGAGCCATGTTGTGATATTCTGGGATGATCTAATGAAGTTCAGCATTGTACTTATGATAGACTATGATACCCAAAAGTGCCCCTCTTGCATTTCCCTTGTTTCCTGTATTATGCTCTTAGACATCTCGGCAGATATTTGCCCGAAAGCCTCGCGTCGCAACTGCATGCACCCTGTCGATGCTCCCCGGGTATCCATCTGACCACTCTACGAGATACTGGTCAGAGAGCCCGTTAAGCCAGAGCTACCGCCATAGATCGCATGGATATGTTGAGCTTCTGGGCAACCCGTCTCGTGAATGGAATCCATTGGCACCGGAGTGGCAGTGCTGTGTCCAGGTGGCTGACATCTAGATCACAAACTCAATGGCCGCGCTGTCTATCCTGCCGCTATTCAAGTTTCGTCTAATATCGCTGTCATGGGTGGCACGGATCTTGAGACGCGTCTACGACTGACTCTAGTTGAGACGGTGAAGAGCCACAAGGAGAGCCGTTGGAGGTTCAGCATATAATCCTCTACGGCCGGAGCCTGGACTGAAGATTGACATGGCCTTATCGGAATACAGTATGACCATGACAAAGAGACAGCATCAATGGAGACACATGAACAGAAGTGCTGCGTGGGTACCGTTGAATCTTCCGATGTCTCATGGGCCTCTCCTTCAACATCCCAACATGGACATCATGGAAGTCGGTGCAGGGACAGAATGACTTGAGCGGAATCGAGTTGTCTCCATGTCGTCTTCCCCTTCATATATCAATCTCACGGAACATATCGGAAGTGGAAGCAAGTGGTCACCTAACACTTTCTTTCGATGTCCTTTGATTCCATCCCTGCCTTGCATAGCGGTCATGGGCGTAATGAGATGACCGGGAAACACGGAACTACATTGGTCTGTTGAACAAGTTGCTGAGCTATAAAGACAGGATCTATGATATAGATTAGTCAAGGTGCCCCTCCAATTAAGATACATTCATTGCTACCTACCTGGTCACCCTGTGGTTTGGATGGCTAGTGCAGTGCCAACGCAAGGGATTCGCAAGACTAAAGGCAAAGCTTGAGTTAGGCAGAAAGGTTTCCTCAAGGACATGTTATAAACCCCGTAATAGTCGTGGCGAGGACCATGGTTCATAGGATATCATATTCCTATACAAGGCTCACTGAGCAAAATGAAACAACTTCATAAGTAGGTACAGATGGTAACTCGGTATAGCTCCAACCAGATATGCATAGCTGTATCTCTAAATATGACATCGACGCTTCGCAAATTCCATAGTCTACTGCCAAAATGCCAACTTCTTCAACTCCTCCAACGGAATCGACCGAATCTGCGTCCGTGGGAAACGTTCGTCGACGGCCGGCTCCTCCGCCAAATCCAGGTAATGTAACGTTGAGATGCCCACGTCTTCCACAAAGGCTAGCACGCGATGGAAGTTCAACCCCACCTGGTCGAGTCCATGGCTATCATCGGACAAACAGAAACGACCTCCCCGGGCCAGAAATTCCTACACACATCAGTCTTCGCCCTGTCGTTTTCCTCGGGGGGTGCATCGCGTACCTTGCAAATCTCCGCCTTGGGATACGGCTCCTTCATGCCCTTCCGCAGCGCAGCCGAGTTCAACTCCAACAACCCGCCGTACGAGGCGACGAAATCCAGATTCCGCAGGATGCGCTCCCAGACGGCAGGCCACTGGGTAAAGCTCCGCTCAGGATCGTCGCTCTTCAACCGGATCAGGTCGAAATGTCCCACGACGAGCGGCTTCAGCTGTCGCAGCATCTCGTACTGTTCGTCGAAGTACACCTGGAAGAGCTGCTCGTCCGTGCCGCCGGCCAGATCCCGCGCTTGCACGTACATGTCCCGGTCATAGTCGATGGGGATCGTCAGCGTGTGGTGGACAGAGCCCATGAAGAACTCGAAGGGGTGACGCGCCAGGGATGCCTCGATGAGGGTGCGGGATTCCGGACGGATCCAGTCGATTTCGAACCCAATCAGGATCTTGATCTGGTCCGCATACTTCTCGCGCAGCCGTTGCGCTTCTTGAAAGTACGCGGCTTCATTGGCAACCAGGCTACTCTCCGTGTTGCCCGCTTCAATCTACCGCCGTCATTAGCTGTGAGTATTCCCGTAGACCATCTGACGAAGTACCTCTTCGGGATAGAAATCCTCTTTGCCCCGCGGCATGTGTTCGGTCAGGCAGAAGACCTGGAATTTCTTTGCGATGGCGAGCTGGATGACTTCCTCCAGCGAGTCTTTGGCGTGCCCCGGGCAGAATTGCCCGGAGTGGCTGTGATGGGAGAAAGGCATTGCCTGTGTATATCTACTTGTTTGGATGTCGAATGTATTGACAGACTCTTTCTTTACCCCGCGATGACTCAAATCGATGCGGGCAACTGGTTGAGAAGTCGATTCCTGCTGTCCAATATGCCCTGTTGGACAGTCAAATCTAATGTCACCAGTTGAGTTCGAGTATCGCAGTCCTAATAGCATGCAGTGGTGGATATGATTGGAAATACTTGGGGTCCAAAGAGGATGGGGAAAGAGAGATGATGCGCGGGCAAATCGGAAGACTGGTTCATGTCCCGGTCCCACCGGATCAATAAAGATCAAAACTACAACTCTACAAAGCGTCTTGGATTCAACTTCCCCGTTGAGTCATTCTGTTCTCGGTGGAACTGCTAATCAGTCCATACAGGACGTCGTCATGTCGTGCCATGGTAGGAATGGACCTCGGCTCGATTCTCGTCCAAAGCACACATGCGGGCTGCAGATGTGCCCACGCGCCTGGTCGGACTGTAGCCATATCGCCAATTGCGTAGAGATTTCCATTCGATCGCTGAACTGTCGCTGGGTTTGTCGCAACAAGCGCTCCACGTCCGGACGCACCGATGCACCTCGTCCTCAGTCATAATGCCCAACCCTGCTGCCCGTAGATATGACGCGTAGCCACCGATCTGACGAGCCGTCTGAGCCCATGGAGCAAACCTCGTATCCCATCTGGTTCGTGCTGTGATCTCTCGTATTGGAATCCAACGCCATAGAGATCAACCTCATCCGGCTGCCAGCACCGTAGCAACAACGTAGTCCCCGTCGTGCGAGATGGACAGCTTCCCAATGCGGGCCATCTCCCCGTCCAGATAGACCACCTCCGGTCTGCCCGAGTCCGTTTCGCTGACCCGCACCATCACGTCCTTCCATCCCAGGCTCGCCGCTCCGTTCGGCGCAGCCTTGCGTGCGGCTTCCTTGGCGGCGAAGCGACCGGCGAGCCAGCGGGCCATGTCCGTGGAACTCGGCAGGGGGCGCTGATTCGGCGAATGCATAGCAGCGGGGAGGGCAAAGCGCGTGTGGAAGTCATGCTGTTCGTGGTCGTTGAGGATACGCCGCGTGAAGCGAGTCAGGTAGTCGCGGCGGTGGATGAGACGCGTGATACGTGGGAGATGAACGATGTCCGTGCCGATATTCAGGGCAAGAGGGAAGGGCAGCGGTTTCATGGTGGTTACGGTGGATGGCAGTTGGCTTGAGGGGTCTGCCGATGTGAAGGATGAGGACTGAAAGGATCGAGAGAATTTAATCTGCTGGCCGGAAACGACAGCGAGGTCAGGTGACTCCGGCGGTGATGCCTGATTCTATCGACTTTGCGGATGCGTGAAGTCGGATTGGAGGATGTATTAGAAGTAGTTTGTATTGCTGCGACACAGGTTGCATTAGAGATGTCACCCTTCAACGGTCTACACTACACATGGATCGACGGTCGAACCGCCCTACGGAACCAACGAACGGTGCACAGAACACGATTCTCCAACTCTCGTTGATGATTACCAGCATAGAAGAACATAGCTCAATGCGGTGTATACCTCTATATGTACAGATCACACACCTCGCCGCTGGCACAAGCCGTCCAGCAGTCCAACACACAATCCAAGACCCGCCCCAGTCGCCATCCCTGTTTCGGATCATACAAGTGACACTCGTGAAGTCAGGGAGAGTCGCCGTCAAGGTTCTGTTGGCACCGGAGCGATCCTCGATTCATTTCTCATCGTTCCGAGACCTTAATGGCCGCTCTTCTTCTCCTCCCCGCTTCCGTTGACTTGTTTCAGGAAGTCCCTGTGGTCGACCGCATGGTTAGCCAGGTTGCACCGCTCCCATTGCACGGTTTGATAGAGGATTGGCCGGGTGTGTTTCTGTTTCCAGGCGTTGTACTAGCTCAATGCCGGCACCAGGACACTGTCGGAGCTCATCGCTCTGAGATGATCGCAAACGGCGAGACAGCATCCGACGTCACCCGCCGGGGAAAGGGTAGAGAATGGAGAGAGAGAGAGAGGACATACTGGATGAAGGTCTCCTCATCCTTGGAAGAGGCCTGGATCGGGGGAGCGGCCTGCTTGGGCTGCGAGCCACCGCGGGTTGCGAGGTAGACACCACCGAAGAGGGAGCCGAGAACACCCATGGCGAGCTAGGGGAAAGACCGGGTCAGCACTGGAAACCTTCCACAGGAGGCCGTGGGGAACGTCACGGTTCCGTCACGCGGCGAACAGAATTTGGAGCCAGGAGAGCCGACGAGGCAGCAGTAGGAACATACCACGTGGGAGCCGACCTGCTTGCCGGCGAGCTGGTAGTAGACGACCATGATGACGGTAGACGGGAGTTGATTGACACGGGAGTGGAGGGACAAACAACGGCGGAGAAGCAGCGAAGCGAAATGATCTCAAGAAAGGCGAGTTCGGGTTCGGATGGCAGGAAGCGGATTGATTGAAGTTGGCCGACTTGTGGTCTTGCCTGCTTTGGGCTTAGCGTGGGCGGTGTGGTCGGGTGGCTGACTCAGCCACGGCTTCGGGTCCATGTGTACACAATATCTTAGTCATGTTCATAAACTATACAATGCATAACTAACTTCTCAGTACTAGTACTAATTCGTTAACTCGTCACGGGCATGGGGAAACAAACTCCGGCTCTATCCGAGGTTCCGCGGCCATGACGTCGGAAGAGATCGGCCTTGCGCTCATGCCATCCAGCATGCGCTGATATTGGACGTCTTTCGGTCGTTTGGACGAATAATCGCGGAAGTGTGGATGTGTCGGTCAAATAGAAAACTTATAAGAAAAGAAAGGAAACTGGAAAGAGAAAAAATAAAAAATAAAAAATAAAAAATAAAACAAGTAAAGAAAAGAAAAGATACAGTTCCCCGAAGCATGAGCGCTCATCAGGACCAAAGGACGAAACAACCTCGGGGGCAGGAAGTGAACTCTTCCTCTTCCCTGAATGTCTGCGCTGGTCGGCAAGCGTGTGCGGCTATGGCTCGTTCGAGCTTCATTCATTAATTAATGAAATCCACTCTGGTGTCATTCCTCCTTCTTCACCTTTCTCTCGCCAGCTCTTCCAACTTTGCCGTCGAGATTCCACAAGGTATGTTGTTTTCCTTGACTCGGTCGTCAACTCTCATACTCATTCTGTGCTATAGGGTATAAATCTACATAGTTCTATACAATATCATCATGCTCTGGGGATCTCAATCCAAGCAAGAGGACTCGCCGGAGAAGCCCATTCCCCGAGAGAAATTACCTCCGCAACTGCAGCAACTCGTGGATCATGACGAAGGGTTCTATGATGATATCTACTCCTCCTAGTATGTTGTTGTCTTCTGTTCTTTCTCCTTCCCCACACTTTTTTTTCGTTCCCCCCCGCAAAAAGGGAACATCGTCCCGTTTCCTCCGAGTACGTACTCGAGACACCTTTTCGTTGCTCGTCGCTTGTTTACCACAATTTACACCAAGCGAGAACCTCTCCCTAACTAATAATTTATTCGCCCACAAATAATAGTTCCGTAGATTCCACCGACACTCCCTACCGATATGCCGGATACGCCAATCGACTCCGCACCGTGTTACTCTCCGCGCATCGTTATGTCGCCTATACTTCCGACATAGGCGAATCCTTCCGACCTGTCGCGCATCCGTATCTCGTGCGCTCCGCTTACGCCATCTCCTGGTCGTACCTGATCGGTGATGTCGCCCATGAAGGCTACAAGGCCTATCTGCGCAATCGGCGCGTGCTCGCCCCGCCCGGCGAGGCCTACAAGGACGCCAAGGGTCTCACCCAGGATCAAGTCTTCAAGGGTATGGCCACCGGCAATGTCGGCGGTTCGTTACGCTCCCCCACGGGGGAATCCGATTCCCTCGAGCCCTGGCCCACTACCCAAATTCCGCTCATCGAGGATTACCGCACGGTCATGGCCAAGCGGGCCGTGTTCCAGAGTATCGCCAGTATGGGACTCCCCGCTTTGACCATTCATTCCGTGGTGAAATACTCTGGGCGCGCCTTGAACAATTCCAAGAGTGTGTGGTTTCGCACCTGGGCGCCGATCGGAGTAAGTCTTCCGTTTTGTTTTCCCTCCTCCGTCTCATTATGTGTTATGATAAAACGTCTGGATGGAATACTAACACGGCCATTCGCTCAGCTGGGTCTCTCCGTCGTCCCCTTCCTCCCTTACATCTTCGACGAACCCGTCGACGAGGCCGTCGAATGGTCCTTCCGTACCGCCATCCGCGCCTATGCCGGCGAAGACGCCATTCGCTCGCTGCCCAAGACCGCCGACACAGACGCTAACGCCAGCACCGCAGCCCTCCCCACCCACTCCTGGGAGGAACACAAGGAAGAACGCCGTCGGGCGAAAGAAGAGCGGAAGAAGGAGCTCGAGGAACGCGGACAGAAAGGACCGTTTGCCTTACTGGGGTTGGGGGGCAATGAGGACTCGAAGAAGAAGACGGAGTAAGAATCATCATCATACTGTATCTGTCCCGGATTGGTCTCTTTTTCAATTTTGACTGGCTTGTTTCATCGTTTGCATGGGAGCGTGGCTGGTGCCTCTTTTCTTTCGTGCTTTTCGTTTCTTTTCATCTTGTTCTTTCACCTTCCATGTACATATAGATACTCATATCTTTAAGCGTTGTCTGGATCAACTACTCTCCCGGATATCATTGACTCGTGCGTCGGCCAGATGGCAGCTACATCGATCCTACGTCCACAACGACGGCAACAGAGGCTCAAAAGTCGTTCAATCCATGCCAACGCATGGCTCATTTCGCTTTCTACTGACACTATACAACTGTACACATATGGACAAGCGACAAATAAAAAAAAAGAAAAATCCAAACTAGTAAAAACACACACACACGGACACACAAAAAAAACCATGGTAACACGAACAAGAGGGAAAAAAGGGGGTAGTGTAGGATAGTACGACATCACTCGTCACAGATACCTTACCACCCATCCATTAGAGAGCGGGAGAGGAGGTCCAGATCAAAGAAGAGAAAAAAAAATATATCTTTACTGTAAATAATAAGAATTGGTGGGAGGCAAGGTCTTTTGCGCCGGATCACCATCAAGGAGAGTAAGAAGGAGAGAAAAAAAAGAAAAAGAAAAAAGAATTGCCAAAAACAGAGGGGGAATAAGAGAAGAGAAGAAAAAAAAAGGTATGTAAGGTGAATAACATAGAAGGACACATGATATCCAAAATTTGAATACAGTCAGAAGTTGAATGGCCAAAGCTTCCACAAGGGCCACACAGAATCGAGTGATTCGATTCAGATTCCCCCCAGTCTAATTGTGATTTATTTTTTTTTTTTTGTTTTGTGCTTTTGTTTGCTACCCTCGTCCCAAAGAGGACCTCATCAAGTACATCTCATTTATCTTTTAGTTCCATCCGAGGGAGTTCTCGGCCATCACAGGGGCACTGATCATCTGTGTACGCCCGGTGCCGCGGCTGTTGTTGCTGTTGCGCGACATACGGCCACCCGCTGCGAACAGAGACGCACCGTTACGGCCCTCGCTCATCTGCTCGACGTTCGAGCTCGACCGCTGGTGCAATTGACGCTTCTTGCGGTAGCGACGAGCCACCCAGAACATGCCCGCACCATAGGCGGCGGCTCCCGCCACGACACCAACGCCAATGCCGACCGAGCTGGCATGAGTCGATCCGCTGCTGCTAGCACCGGCATCCGAGTTAGGGTCCGACTCGTCGTTGCTGTTGTTGCCGCCAGTGTTGCCGTTGGACCCACTCGAGCCGGACGATCCACTGCTGCCCGAGGAGGATCCGGACTCGCCCACCACCAGAGGAATGGAGGGATCAATCATGGATATCAGCGCCTTGGCAGAGCCATCGGCCTGCTGGTACAGCCGCGAGTTGGGGTTGTTCAGCATCTTCTGCAGCCCATCCACCTGGTCGGTGGGAATGTACGCCATGGCGACGGTAGCGATATAGCCCGTGCTCTTCGAATTGTCGTAGGGTTGGATCGCCAACATGGACACCTCCTTTCGGAGGATCTCCAGCGCGTACTCCAAAGCGATCGGAATGTAAAGGAAGATCTGCGACGAAGACAGCGGCGTCGTGGCCACAAAGCTGTAGCGAAGCTTGCCATTGAATCCCAGCTGAATCAGGGTCGAGTCCGCTGGAGGCTCGACGGGGACGTTGCCGGGCGAGATCGACCCAGGGAGCTGGGTCTGCGTGGACGTCGTGGTCGCCGTAGTGTGAGGGGCCGTGTTTTGCGTCGTCGGGCTCGGAGGCTCCACCAGAATCGTGGACGGGACCCAGTCATTGGCGTCGCTCGTCGTGGTGGGCTCCGGGGTTGGGGTGACCTGGGTTGTCACCGTCGACTGTTCCGTGGTGCTGGGCTGCTCCGTGCTCGTCGGGGTCAGGGTGGTGGAGGGAACGGGAGTTGGTGTGTTGGTCGAAATCGGGGTGCTTTGGCTCGGAGGCACGTCGGTGGGCTTCGAGGTGCCGATGAGAGGAGTCGACGAGACCGACGAGACCGACGAGGGCAGGGACGAGCCACTGGAGCTGGTCGAACCGGTCGAACCGGTCGAGGGAATGACACCACTGGTCGATGTAGGAACACCCGGGCTGATGACCGAGCCGGATGGTCCATGGGTGAAAGTCTGAGTGCCGGTGGACGCTCCGGGGATGACCGGGCTGGATGTGGTGGAGCCGCTCGATCCGGAAGCTCCTGGGGTGACTCCGGAGGAGATGCCGGCGGAGGGTGTCGGCGTGGCCGGTGGAATACTGATGGAGATGGTTGGCAGAATCCCCGAAGAACTTGTCAGGTCGGTGGAGCTTCCATTGGCGGTGCTAGATCCAGCCTGCGCGGTCGATGTTTCCGAACCGTTGCCATTGAACGTCGAAAGAATGCCGGACGGAAGCACAGTGTCCAACAATCCCGAGGATGAGGCGGCAGAGGGGGACAGAATGGAGGACAACAGAGCGGATGGAGTCGGAATCACATCGATAGACGTCAGCTGGCTGGTAGACTCCGTCGAATTGCCCGTGGCGGAAGTGGCGGCCGAGGGGGAGGCGACGGACGAAGCCGCCGACTGAGTCGGGATCACATCGATAGACGTCAGCTGGCTGGCAGACTCCGTCAAATTGCCCGTGGCGGAAGTGGTGGCCGAGGGGGAGACGACGGACGAAACTGCTGACTGAGTCGGAATGGTATCGATGGATGTAGGGTGGCCGGAGGACCCGGTCACTGAGGAGCCTACCGAGGCGGTTGGAATTACCTCGCTGGAAGTCCCCTGGTTCGCAGACGACTCCGAGACACTGGACGTGCTCGAGCCCGACAGAAGGCCTGACAGCAATGAATTGACCAATCCGGGGGTGGACGATGGCTGCTCGGTCGAACTCGTCACATCGGTCTGCGAGGGCGACACCACCGTTGAGGTGCCCTCGGTGGTGCTGGCACCCGTTGCTGAGTTCGACGGAATTACAGGGACCGATCCGCTCGTGACATCAGTAGGCTGGGCAGAGCTGGCACTCTCCGAGCTGGATGAGCTGGATGAGCTGCCAAACAGGCCACTCACCAGATCACTCAGCACGTTCCCGGTCTTCGTGGCTGTCGCGGACGGAGTGACGGCCGTAGTCGATGTACCCGGTTCCTGCGACGATCCGACGACATTCGCCGACGACGCCGTGGAGCTCTCCTCCGACGACGTGGAGACGTCCGTGGGCTTTGGCGATTCAACTCCCGTGGAAGATGATGGGGTTGTCTCCGAGTTCGAGGCTGCCTGGGAAGCGGTCGAGCCGGTGGTGGTAGTTGCTGCGGCGCTGGCCGCGGCGGGCTCCGAGGTCAACACGGAGCTCGTCACGGTCGAGGTTGAGGCGGTTCCCGCAGGCGTTCCCGTCAAGGTATGCGTATTGCCCGCCGCATCGACGGACAAGGTGATGACAACGACCTCGGGCGTTTCCGTCGGTGCTGCGGTGGCTTCCTGGGGCGGTTGCAGAATCGAATCGAGCACGTTCGTGTTGGATCTGGGCACTTCGACGGTCTCGGGCGCCTTAGACGATGCTCCGGGGGCAGCAGAGGTTTGGTAGTTGATCAATCTTTTCATGTGTTTCGGCATGAAACGGGGCTTCAGCGTTGGCCCCTCGGCCGCGTTCCGAGCTGCAACCAGCTCGAGACCGCCGAGCGACAGCAACGCCGTCAGTATCGACGCCGTCTGAGCCACCATGTTGTAGGCGTCAAGGATATAATCACTGGGGGCGGAAAGAAGGGGGCGAACGGCAGTAATATAGAAGGAATGGACAGAGCGATAGCTCAAGCGAGAGCTTCCAGATCCACCGATGCAAGATCAAACGTCGATTATCGAGAACTCCGGCGTCGACGTTGCAGGCTCATAGATTTTGATGGCTGGGGACGATGGAGAGGGGCTTCTGCGACACTACCCGGCCTCGTCTTTTCCGTTCGATGATGTTGTCTCCGAACGAATCACTTCGAATGGGTCGGTCTGTCAATGCAGAGGGCTGGAGGGTCGTTCCACCAATCGATCAGATTCCCTTTCCGGTCGAATCACCAATGCAAGCAAGTACTGCAACCAAACGTCTCGACGGCGACAACCGGTAAACCTGCAGTGACAGCGGGTCGATCGAGGACAGGAGCCGATTCGTACGGAGGATTTGACGACGGATCTAAACTGAAAACAACAACGCGCAGGTCAAAGAGCGGCAGGGGATAGATAAACCAGACTAGCCGGAATCCCTTTCACAGCGAAACAAGTAACGAACGTCGGTTGGAGTAAGGAGCGAACGACGAGGTTAAAAATGGGGGGAAAAAACGAATGTGGTGGATGGTCGTGGTAGTGCTGGTCGACGACGAAGACGAGATTCCTGGCGGCGCGACGGGACGGCAGGCAAAGGAGGTTGTATTTCTCTTCCCTCTCGGTCGATGCAAGGAGACAGATGGCGGATGGATTGAATTGTCCCCAAACGGGTCGTTGACGTAGGAATTGAAGATGAGCGATCAATGGATATTGGGGCTACGTCAACGACAGCATCGAGAGTACAACCATTCAGAGAAGCAGAATGGGGAAGGGGGGAAAGATGACGGTGAAGACAAGAGGGACAACCACTAAACAAGAAAAGAGGGAAAGAGAAGCAAATCAAAAATCAAAAATCTAAATTAAAAACGCAAATTAATCACAAAGGAAGGGAAGGACTGGGAAAGGGAAGAAGGAGAATGAGTGAGTGAGTGAGCAGCGAGCGAGTGACTTGCGTGAGCGAAAGAATACTCCGTGTACGAACTAGTTTAGTGTAAAGGGGGGGGGGAGGAGGAGGAGGGGGTGGGCCAAGTGGGAGCGAGGCCGTGGAAATACTGCTGGCGTCAGCATCTGATGATGATCCGTGACTGGACCCACCCCAGGAAGTAGTATTATTATTATTATTATTATTATTAGTACAACCAACTCCTCCTCCGTACAATACATACGTACATACACCGTACACTGTCCTGTACCGTACAACATCCATAGCTCCATCAACAACGGACACTCTTCCTTCCACCTGCGAATGATAACGACCTACGGAGAAGTATAGGCACCTATGCGATAGGATCATGTCCAAGTACGGCGGAGGAGTCAAGATTTCAGGGTAGTATCCCCGGTTCAATCTCCACTGGAGCGACTGAAATAACCACAAGAAATGAGGAAGAACTAGTCGTCGATAGTAGAACTCTATCCCGTGTGACCCTGAGAACTCGACAGTGCGATCATTCGGCCACGAAGACGACTTCGTCGTACTATCGATGGAGGAAGTAGTAGTACTCAGATGATATCTACCCTGACAGGCATTATCCTCGAGCATGGACCATGAAAAAGGGCAGTCATTCTCCATCGACGAAATTAAATCTGCAACTGTCAAGCGGATGGAAATTAATTGACATGGTGACATGACCATCTTCATTTAATTAGTTTTCGTTTTTAATTTCACCCGTCCCGGCATGAGGAAAATCCCCCTCATCGTCCCTCCAACCCAGGAGTTTTATGGGTTGTTGGTTGGATTTCTATGGAGATCCGAGATTGACTGGTTTTTTTTTTTTTTCTTTTATTTATTTCTTTTCTTTTCTCATCCTTTCCTCGTCGGTCTCTTCTTCTTCCGTGCGCATTGTCTCGGTGGCTTAGTAGTCGGGAACAATACAGTAGTGGTACAGACAGTGAGGTGGCACTGAACCAGGATGCCGATCAGGCGTACGCTGCTCATCGTAATTCCCGCCTTTTTTTTTTTTTTTTTTTT